ACAGAAATAGTTTAAAGTACATTGGATTAATTTTTAACCATTTGACTGACCTACTAGGGCACAGAGATTTCTGAAAATGAACATTAATTTGACTGAGGAACACCTCCTAATGCAGGAATAACCCTAGAAGTAGAAAACTATATTTCTATAGTTCTTCCTTATATTCACACATTTGTGCAAGGATTGTGCATCGTTGTTTAAAAATGGACTTTCTGTATAAACGATTGTCTCAGTTATTAATGAGGGAAAAGCAATCTGGAGATTCCCACATAGATGAGGCGATGAAACAGGGTCTCCAGCAGCTCTTGATTCAGTCGTCTGGCTAAAAATCTGAAATTAGTTGGGGGTAAGTAGGTGTGTGTAGTTGAAGAGTTTATTGGCTACAGAGGTGGATGCCTTGAACCACTAGGGTCCTAGAGGAAGGTTTTATCAGTCTAACAGGAAGTGGAAAGAATGAAAAAGAACTATAGAGAAAAGTAAAATGAAAATGGCTGTATAAATGTACTTGATTTAGAGGACTGGTCTTTGTCGTAGATTTTTGTCCTTCTGTTTTTTGTTTGTATTTAAATTCACTTCATGGAAATAATGGTGTTAGGAGTGACATTTGTTTGGGGGGAGGTGGCGGACGGGAGTTGGGGAGGGGGAGTTGCTTACCTGACAGCATGCAGGACTTGCTCCTGGCTTTGTGCTCAGGAACTGTATGTATCAAACCTGGGTCAGCTGCATGCAAAGAGAGTGCCTTACCCACTGTACTATCTTTATGGCCCCCAGGAGTCACATGTTCTTCCTAAGCAAACCTTTAAGATCAAATGGAGGGTGAGTGCTAGATTAAGTTCACTCATTCATCATCAAATCAAACCCCAGTGTATGCTGCCCTCTTCCAGACCCTGGAGATCTATCCAGAGGTGAGCAAAGACAGGATCCCTTCAAAGAACGAGATTTACCTTCTCTCACAGAGATATTTGGTGACAGAGTGGGAAGGCCACTTCTGATATGGCTAAACTGGCTTGGTTTCATTTATTTAGCATGCATTTTTGAGAGACTGCTTATTATGATGCACAAAAAAATTCTTCTACATATTAAAAAGATAAAAAGAAGACAGGCAACCTTTTTTTGTTTGTTTTTGTTTTGTTTTGTTTTGTTTTGTTTTATTAAGAATCTTGCAGGGAGTATTTAAGACCATTAGCTTGTAAAAAGAATTTGTCCAAGCATTTCCTATTTTCATTCTAAACTCTTTTTAAAAGTACTTATTCTTGACTCTTGACTATCCTTGGTTAGAACTCATTTCTTTGTGATGTTTTTTCTGCCTCAGGGAACTAAGTGGCTGATAATGAGGTAGAGATCCCTTTGCTCTTGTCTTTTGACCAATTTGCTTCAATTGCTCTGCTTGGAAATAACCCCCCTAATTTACTTATTTTTGTAACCAAGTGAGTGACCTTTTCTCTTTAGTTCCTAGACAGGTAGTATCTGTCTTTATGGTCTGAGGAGAAAGAAGTACTAAAGTGATAGGCAAGATATTTGAATATATTTGCAGCTTTTTCAAGGTCCATCCATACAATAATTTTTTTGTAATCGCTCCTGTGATTTCCTGGTAACGAAAATGAAAAAGGCATATGTGGTACCAAGTTTTTGTTTTAATTTGACTTCATGGCCTCCTAAACGTGGGGATGGTGGATATTCTTAAAAACGTCATGATAGTAATACCTACAAGCATTACTTACAAGTATTTACAAATACTATAAGTAATATTACTAATCAGAATTCGCATCAAAAAATCTGAGTTTCTCACGTTTCAAGTTTCTTCACATATGTTGTATGTTACAGACCAGTTCGACTTCCAGACTATTATGATCAAATGGATCCCTTAATCAGTGTTACCCATCTATACTTAGACTTCCTGTAAAATCATTCCTCATGGATGCTATGAGGTAGTCGAGATAATCAGCACCAGAGGACCAGAACCAATCAGTGAAGTATTCCTGAGTAAGCTGTTTTGGAGAGATCTTAAAGAAATTACAACAAAGATACCAATAAAACGCAAGCCCCCTGTGTTCCCCCAGCATAAACAGGCAACTGTTAACACATTAACAGTTTTTGTCTTAATCCATTTATCTTTTGGATACCAGAATATTAACTCTTAAGAGCGTAGTGCCTTCGTCTGTCACTACTACAACCACAGCACTTCTCCAAGAGAGTCCATGGCCCAGTAAATGCTCAGTAAATAATTGTTGAACAACCTAAATTGTGAATAACCTAAAGCATTACTGAGAATCTTACCGGCCTCTCTCCCCATTCCTCAGAGGCATCACCTTTATTTGATGAAGATGTCACCTATTTACTTTGTGCTTCAGAGTGTCCTATACTCATGAGGAGTGGATAGTGTTTGTTTATATGTATTAGAATTTAAGTCAAATCGGACCATGTATATCTGTCTGAAACTTTTTCATTCCTATTTTGAAGTCTGTCCACATTGATATCTATCTTTCTCATCACTGCTGGTTTCATCATATAAATCTACCTTCTTATCCCTATTATTTGATAGATCAGGGTTTCTCGGACTTTTTCCTTCCCTGGCCCCGTTCTGACCTAGTTTTCTTCCCTTGTACCCCCAGCTTGGCTGATCCCCCAATCTTATGCTATTGTCTTCTCTAGCCCCATTTTTTTCCCATTGACAATAGAAGACTATAAATGTCACTGATGAAATGATTGACTCAGTGATTGCACTGCGGGATCATTGATTGGCTCCATCTTCAAGGCTTTGCACTCATCAGTCTTGATTGGCTTGATAAGCTGGGAAACTAGTTCTGACTTTTTAAAAATATTGGCCAAAGCTCCAAGTCTTCTAAGTGACACAGCTGGGATTCCAGTTCTTAGATTCCAAAGTCTTGAACGTAGAGTGTGACTCTTCCTCTCTGACTTATCTTTCTCTAGTCAAAATAAGTTGAAGTCACAAGAAGTTGAAGTCAGTTCCGTGAGGTGTGCAAGCGAAGTAGAGGATGAATGAATGATTGTTATCACACTTAGTAGTCGAATGTCTGGCTGTCCCGGTTTCCTCCATGACAAATAGGAATGTGTTTTGCTTGCCTGCCGTTTTAGAGCTTGAACTGATTTTAAGATCCTCACCTTTACAGGCAACGGTCTTGAGGTGAACAATCACGACAGAGTTACTTGCCTTGTTGAATTAACCGTTCACAAAGTGAAGGAAAGTCTAACATTGTCTATGAAACTTACCAACTATAACTCATGCGTGGATTCTGAGTCACACATTTGCTTTTCTGTAGGTTTGGTTGGTTGGCTTCTTTTGTTTGAGGGCCACACTTGCAATGCTCAGGGCTTACTCCTGGGCACTGAGATCAGGGATCACTCCTGGAGGGCAGTGGGGGTCATATGGGATGCTGGGGATCTAACCCAGGTCAGCCACACGTATGGAAAGGGCATTACATGCTGTATTATCTCTTCAGCGCCGTAGTCACACATTTATGAAAGCTTTTTGGGTTTTGTTTTACTTTGTTTTGTTGGCCACTCAGGCATTGCTCAGGACGCTTGTTGGGGACCGGGAATTTTGCCCAACCAGATCAGGGTTCGATGTGTGGGCCCAGGAGTACAGTGCTGCTCAGGCCTCCTGGCACCAGGGATTTCCTCAACCACCCTGGCTTTATTTTGGGGCCTTCACGACTGCAGCTTGTGATGCTTGCGGGGACTATGTGATGCTAGGGATCAAACTGGGGTCACATGCAAGACATGGATGGTCACCTCTGTACGATCTCTCCAGCCCTATGGAAGCTTTTGGAAAAAATGGTGTATTAAAACAGGAATGTTTATTTTGGGCATTGCAAGAGCATAAGTTTTGTTTTTTCTTTGATACGTTTGAACTACTTGATGAAAAATATCTAATGATAATATGAAGTTAGAAGTCCTGGGATTCTGGCTTTTTCAGAATGTTGCTAGAGTGGAATTTCAGAATGTTTCTGCAAATCTGTCACATTGATGGCGATGAAGGTGGTGGTCGTCATGGTTATGGGGTGCCTTTCCTCTGCAGACACCCACAGCTTACTCTTGTGAAGTGAGCATGAACTAGCATCCTATTGGTCACCGGAAGAAAAATATGGGGACATGCAAAAGATCAGGAACTTGAAAGGAAGAAAAAAAAATGTGGATTTTTAATTTTTTTTTAAGATTGAGATTAGTACCCGTCTCTGTGCTCCCACAAAACTCACACCATCCTTCTCCCAGACTTGGCTTTCACATTCTCCAGGGCGACGTTCTCTTTTATTGACTTTTAAAAATTGATTTATAAATTTTTAAAAGATGCCCTAGCAAGTATTAATGATGATGAGTGAGATTTTTTTTTAATGCTATAGGTTTGTAATGTAAAGTAGAAGGTGTTTCCTTTCCCACTAAGGCACAAAGTCTCATCAGCATCTAATTCCACGCTGGGGTCCAGACCTACATTACGACCCAGAATCCTTTCTGAAATGTTTTGGTGACTACGGGCAATAGAATCCAAAAATCACCACACCCTGCAATGCAGAGGGCTCATAGGATGATAGGAAGTCCCCAACAGGAGCAATTCAAATGCCCATTCATCCATTCTTCCCACTGTGGTACTGGTGTTAGCCCCGTGACTCAAGAATTCAAACCAAGACCAGGTCTGCCCCACACGCATTTGGAGACAAGGAGCTCTCGTCCCCTCGTGGCAATGCTAACCATGAGGGATTGGTAGATGGCATTTTATCCACACTTCCAAAAGAGGTGCTGTCTACAGGTTTCTGTGATTTTCAAACTGCAACTGTGCTTCTGCTTATTTAAAAATAAAGCTTGATTGGATGCCTTAAGCTCCTCGCATTTTTGCCTCCTTCCTGCCTTATTCCCATGCTCTAAAGCTTTTTCTGTAGCTTTTCTGTTCGTGAATGGCCTCTCTCCCTCGCCTTTCCTTGTCATGTTGCTGCTTTATCTCTCTCCCATTCATATTTTTTTCCCTTTCTTTTTGCTGCATGGAGACTCTCTGCTGTACAAGTGTAAGTATTTTTGGTGGCTCTGCGGTTTCTGTCTGTGTTAGTTTATAGTCTTGTGCTCTGCTGCCTGGCCAGGCTCCCGGGAGACGAGTGTCGTCATCCATCTGCAGATTGTGAATGAAATAGACAGCAATTGAGACACCAGATGGAATTTTATAAGACAGTTCAGCCAGCAGAATAGGTGAAGAATTGGTGAATTTGAGATATCTCCGACTAAATGCCTGAATGCAAGCCCAGTGTTGATAAAGAGAGAATGAACATTCAAGAGGGGAAGAATCCTCATTCCATTCAGAGAGAGAGAGAGAGAGAGAGAGAGAGAGAGACATACATGATTACTTAATTTTTCCATGCCCCCCTCCTCCCCAATTCTTTTCTGCTTTCTTGTTTCCTAAGGTAGGAGAAAAATGGTGTCATGATTCACATTCTTATATTAGAAGTATTTACTAAGAAATAATCTGCTTCCCACCTTCCCCTCACTGCCTCCAACCAGCTGCGTCTTTTTCTATTTGCCTGTTTTTAACCCTAGTGTAAAGAAAAGTTAGGTTTTTTTTGTTTGTTTGTTTGTTTGTTTGTTTTTGCTTTTGGGGTCACACGCAGCGATGGACAGGAGTTACTCCTGGCTCATGCACTTAGGAGTTACTCCTGGCGGTGCTCAGAGGACCATATGGAATGCTGGGAATCGAACCCGGGTTGGCTGCGTGCAAGGTGAACGCCCTACCCGCTATGCTATCGCTCCAGCCTTGTTAGAGATTCTTGAGCTTGGTGTTAGAGTGTTGTTTATTATTTTTTATGTAAACCAGGTAAAGTGAACAAGAAAACTACCCATTTTGATGTTTGTGGTGATAGGAACAACTTTAAAACACACACATACACACACACACACACACACACACACACATGCGCGCGCGCAAAGGTATCTCATCTTAAAAGTGAGATTCACAGGGAAAATGTTGTAGTGTTAGGTTCCATAATGAGTCCTTTGTTGAAATCATAGATGTTTCACTTTCAAGCTACTTGGAAAAGAGCGTAAATCCATTATAAAAATTGAATCAAGCATTTCAATAACAACTACTACTGATTTGTTTGTTTGTTTAGGGGTCACACCCAGAGGTGCTCAAGGGCTGTCCTTGGTTCTGTGCTAGACTTTGTGTTTGTGGTTCAGAATATCAAACCTGGGCCTTCCACAAGCAGAACCTGCATTGCAGTCCATTGAACTTTCTCTCCAGCCCCAAAGGTCAAGTATTTCAGGCCCATGTAGACTCTGTCTCGCTTTGGGCTTCTTAGAAAAGAGAATTATGTATTTCTTTACTCACTGTCTGCCAGGGTGGGGATTTATTAATGTTTGGTGGTGTCCCAGTGAGAAAGAGTCTACAAGGATTTAATACGTTGTTTCTCATATATCCTTGAGGATGTGAAAATTGCTTATTCCACAAAAGTGCTTTTTTAAAAGATCAGGTAGGTTAGAGGAATCCTGGGCAGAGTCAAACCATGATTTTGCACTGAAAGGCTGGGTTGGTGTATGAGTCACTTCTGCAATGACACCTTCGTCATGGGCTTTGTGTGAATGAGAACCAGGAAGCCATCTGAGAAAATATTGCTTTCTAAAAAGGATGCAATCCCCCTGGATGTAATTCATTTAATCAGCAGGGGTGGGAATGGGGAGGGAAGAATATTTATAAACAAGACTTCTCAAAAAAATAAGTAGAATATTTGTTCCACGTCAGTAAAGAACCATAATTCACACCTGTGTTTCCTCTTGCTTTACATTTCAATTGGCGGTACTTAGGGGAAATTCCTAGCTCTGTGTTCAGGACCAATTCATGGTCCTTCTCTGGGGACCATATGGGGTGCCAGAGATTGACCTGGATTCAACCATATGCAAGGCAAGCATCTTAACCCCTCTCCCTTCTCTCTAACCCTTTACATTTAAATGTAGTGGGATCATTGGAATAATCTAATACCTTCAACCAAGTTCATATTTTCTAAAACTCTGTTAAGGAAGAAAAAAATCTCAAATTACAAAAGAAAAATCGGAGGGAAATGATATTCATTTTCCTATTTTACATATTGAAATCCCTCTTTATTCTTTTCCATGAAAGAGGTTGTAAGATAGTTCACTCAGCGAACGAAATGTGTAAAAATTAGCTTAAATGTGTATAATTTAGCTCAATGGGAATTGTAGAAACTAGCCTGGTTGTTAGCACTGCTTGTCTTAGCAAAAGGCCAATGACCCTGTTCAAACATGGCAAAACTCGAGTAGATATTTCAAATAAAGTAGATGATTTTTATTCAAAGTATAACTGAAGTTATTTGCACTTATAAAGATCACAGAGAATAAAGAAGTGAAAATACATTAGAAGGGAAAAATGCATTCTAATGCATCCTTCTGATATTTGAATTTGTATACTAGCTAGGCTTCTTGGCATTAGGAAACTAAGAAAAGCAAGCTAGTTCCCCTTGATGAATGTCAACCTCGAATCCTGATGATCTTGTATGTCCCTTAACAAGACTCTAAAATCAGGTTGAGTCAATGACCCACTTACAGATGGACCTCTTTTATATCTATGGATGTTACACATCTCTTTTCTTTTATTTTTTACTTATTTTGGATTCTGGGCTCCAGCAGTGCTCAGGGCTTATTTCTAGCTCTGAACATAGGGGTCACTCCTGGCTGAGCTCAGGGACCATACGGGGTGGCCAGGAATCAAATCCAGATTGGCTACATGCCGGGCACACACCCTACCCACTCTACGATAGCCCCAGCCCTCAAGAATATTTTAGAACTTTCAGTTATGAATTGGCAGTCAGGTCAGCGTGGGAGGAGAACTACCTTTAAACTGGAGTCCTTTCCAATCGCAGTGCATTGGCTGTGTTTTTATTACATTCATCAAGCCTGAGAATTTATACAAGATAATCTTCAGATTGTCTGCCCTTTATAAAACCTTGAAACAATCTGCAAACTTGTGTCTGTTTCAGAAGGGTCCATCTAAATGCAAATATAATTACTCATCATTTTTTCACTCCTTTTTTCCTCAACAACAAGGATACTATTATTAAAACTGGCATAAAGTTGTCAAAACTGCAAAGTTATTTGCTTTCGAAAGGTTATTGTAAACCAATTCATTGTTTGGATCAAAGAAACTGTCAACCTTGTCTGGTATTTTTTTTTTTCCCCAGAAAGTCTGTAATGACATCCTATTAAACGAAAGTGTACAGATTCGGTTCTTTCCTCATCGCTGAGGTAGCATAAATGCCAATGTTGAGTATCAAGTCAGTTATAATGTCCCTAAAACCCACCAAGCTGCATATTGATGTGACAAATGGTGTGTCTAGAGGGGTGCTGGGCAAACCTTGGTTAACCTGGAATGACCCAAGCTAACCTTGGCTTTATTCTGCATCTGTAGACAGCTTGAAGAGGGACCTGCATCATTTCCATGAAACTGTTTCTGCCTTTTAATTTGAGTAAGATGAGATCAGAAGTTCCCTCCAACCTTGATACATGTTTGAGTAGATGAAATCAAAAATTTCCTCCAGCCTTTAAAATGCTGCTTTGGGACTTGTTTTGATATACTCTATTGACACAACTGCTAGGAAAAAATATCCTTCGGATGTTTTAGCTATAGTTTTGAGTTTTTTGAGTTTTACTTTGTTTTCTTTTCTTCAGCAGGTCACCTCCAATGGTCCTCAGTGCTTCTGGCTCAGTGCTAGGTGGTCATTCTTGGAAGTGCTCAGGGCATCACACAGTGCTAGGGTTCCAACTCTAGGTCCAGCATGCAAAAATACGTGCTCCGGCTCTTTGAGCAGTCTCCCAAGCTCTGTGGTTGGGTTTCTTTGCTTCTTTTTTATATTAAAGTGGAACAGGCTCAATAAAGTGTGACAACACATAGGCTTCTGATTTGTGCCAGTTTTTCCTTAAGTCTTTGTCAATAACGTGAAATGAAAATCTTGGTGTCAGCAATGTGAAAACAAGAGTCAACTTGAAACAGTAATAGTAACGCCCAGAATCCAGTATTGCTTGCAATGAAATGATAATGAACAGTGATAATTGTGTGCTCAATTTTTGGTAACTGATTCGACCATCTCTAGTCTCATTTTAACATCCTCAAGTATTACTTAAAGTTAAAGTCTAAATCATTCATTGTTCCTTTCAGCTGTATCAGTAGAATTTTATCTCTTCTTGATTCGGCCTGGGAGAAGGAATTTGTTAGCTGTGTATGATTTGAGAAGACTGGGTGTGTTTAGAAAGGGCTTAGGTGAGCCTTTCTGTCTAAATTGTCAGATATTACCAGCCATCCTCAAAAGAAGAGACAACAATAACTGAGAAACAGCTGATCTGAAAAGTCCCCCCTGCCCGCCACCGCACACACATGCACAAGGTCACAATGTTTGTGAAGTTCGAAAGAAACTTTTTGTGTGAATACCTAAGGTGCTTTCTCTCTTTAATTGCTAGATGACTCCCAAGTCCAAAAGGAAGAGTATCCATAGCAGAATGCTCCGACCCGTTTCCAGAGCCTTTGGTAAGTGAGTGCTTCGCTTCAAACGGGTCATTTCCAATTAAGCATGAAATCTTCTCACATAGCGCTCAGAGCACTTCCGGCCTCTTTCTCAAAGAAAGCCAGTCCATCCTGAGTCTCTGAGGATGAAGGGATGGTGGAAAGGGTGTTCACTTTTCCGTGATCAAAATTGCTTGTGGGAGATATTTCTACCCACCCGGGTAGGGTGTTTACCTTGCACGCAGCCAACCCGGGTTTGTTTCTTCCATCCCTCTTGGAGAGCCCAGCAAGCTAACGAGAGTATCCCATCCACACGGCACAGCCTGGAAAGTTCCCCATGGCATATTCAATATGCCAAAAACACTAACAGGTCTCACAATGGAGATGTTACTGGTGCCCGCTCGAGCAAATCGAACAATGGGAGGACAGTGCTACAGTGTTGTGCAATAAACTTTGGCTGGGTGCTTTGCTTCCCTTTAGAAATGGAATTCGACCTGGACAAAGCTTTGGAAGAGGTGCCCATTCACATTGAAGACCCGCCTTTCCCGTCCATCAGACAAGAGAAGCGGAGCTCAGGCTTCATCTTCGAGCTGCCGTCCGAGGAGGGGAGGAAGTTGGAGCACTTCACCAAGCTCAGGCCTAAGCGGAATAAGAAACAGCAGCCCACCCAGGCAGCGGTAGGTGGACGGGCCATCCTTGCCCCCTTGGCATCTTGGGGAGACCCGCAGAGCCTTGCTAGCACCATTGCACAGGGAGAGGTGTGCGGCCAAGGGGTCCCACAACCCTCCTGACATATCCTTCTAAAGCGTCTTCACTTGGTGCTCAGTGTTGTTAAGAAGGTCCTCACTGTAAAGCTTCCAAGTTCCTAGAACAGCGTTGCCTTTATTTTCACTGGTTTATTTATTTATTTATTTTCAATTTTTTTATTTATTTATCTACTTTTGGCTTTTTGGGGTCACATCTGGAGATGCGCAGCGGTTACTCCTGGCTCTTCAAAGACTCAGGAATTACTCCTGGTAGTGCTCAGGGGAACCTATGGGATGCCGGGGCTCGAACCCGAGTCGGCCATGCATGCCAGGCAAATGCCCTCCCCATTATACTAAGCCCGAGTGTTGGCGTTAGAAAGACGCGAGTTCCTGCGGATGAGGGATGAGTGAGCTCTCTCTCTGGAAGTTTAGAGCAATGTGATCAGATGAATGAGAAGGACCAAAGACACGCAGATGCATACTGCCTTTGCGTTTGATATCTCTTAAATTGACGGTCCAGAGAAGGTGTCCTGCATGGGACAGTCCAAACCCTGAGGAGAGTTAGACAGGGCCGTTCAGCGTTCTGCCCTCTCTGCAGGGAGGTGTGGCTTATCTGTGCTGGTGGGCTGCTCTGTTGCTGACCCTGCCCTGTTCTCTCTCTGCTCAGTCTTGTCTCTCCTTTGCAGTCTGATTCCTTGAGAAAGTTGAAGCTGATTGCTTTTTTTTCCCCTGTCACTTCATGCCGTCCCGTCTTCCCCCGCTCCCTCCCAACACCTGCATTCTGTAGCTTCTTGCCCCAACTCATCCTGGACCCTGCTGAGGTCATCATTTCTCATTTCATCCTGTGGACACTATTGGTTGTCACCTAGCTTAATGGCTTAGCTGGTGACAGGCATGGGTAGCTCACCCTCCTTCTAGGCCCTGAGGTGACAGTGTCCTCTCCCACCACCTGGCCATTGATGGGGGTCTCAGTTTCCCTCTGCCTGGCCTTCAGGTGGGGTGGAGGGACTGGGACTGGAAAGAGAGTACAGGAATCAAGGGTTGCAGCCATGTCTGCTTTGACCAGGGGTGCTTGCAACCAACTCTGGTTTGCTCACTGATGGTGGTATGGCTCCCACAGGCACCGCTGGGAGAGACTCAGGACAGACTCAGTAATAGCTCCCAAAGCACCGCAGGCTGTGGCCCCAAACACCTCCACTCCACCCCTCCCTTCCCAAAAAGAAAACAAACAAATGCTGTCTCGTCCCCATCAACCCAACCACATCACCTCTTCCAAAGTGAGTCCCCTGAGACTCTGGTGTTAACTCCTATTCAGAGAGGGTTGAAAGGGCGGGTTATGAGTCATAAAAGAGATTTCTCTTATCACTGATCACTAAAGGAAATTCCAAGGAATTTAAGAGTTCTGTCGGGGAGCCAAAGAGAAAGAGCAAAACTCTACTTCTGTTGCATCACACAAGGTCAATGTCAACATGGCCTTTTTTCCTACTATGCCAAAAATATTGTGTTTTGTTTGTTGTTTTGGTGCCAAAAATATAAAATTAGCATCTCTTTGAATATGAAGAGTCCCGGACCAGAGAGATGCCTCTGGGCCATGAGCATGCTTCGCAATCCCAGGCACCTGAAGGACCCCCATCTCCACCAGGTGCAGTTCTGGGCACAGACTGACTTGGAAATAGCTCTTAAGCATCATTCACTGTATGTGGCCCAATAACTAAATAAGTAAATACATAACACAAGTCCATAACCTAAAAATCTAAGCAGACATACAGTTTTTTTCAGAACCTAAATAATTTATTTTGTATTGCTTGTTATGAATAATCCACGAAAGATGATCCAAAAAAACGTTTCCTTGGAGGAAAGTGTGTGAAGGTGTTATATCACCCTGGAGCCATTAAGCTGTTGGATAGAGTATGAGATGACACATGGCTGCATGCTCCAGGAATTCTAAGATTTTTAAATCAGACTCGCATCATTTAATCTTAGGGTCAAACCACCATTGTTCTAATTTAACCAAGCATCTTATGAATAACTGATATTTTAAGTCTCTCTAAAGACCCCCTCGAATTTATTTTGAATAACCAGATGTAAAATATTCCATTTTATTCTTTGCTCATTTCCTGCATAAGCAAGAACTCTGAATGAAATGTTGCGTTGTGGCTGATTTGCCAGTAGAATTTTCTCGCTCTCTATACTGTATTACTGTATCACTGCTATCCTGTTGTTCATCAATTTGCTTGAGCGGTCGCCAGTAACGTCTCCATTCATCCCAGCCCTGAGATTTTAGCAGCCTCTCCTTACTCGTCCTTCCCAACGGTACCTTATTCGATTCTTTGATTCTTTGTTCTCAGAGCCTGGGCCAGAGATGCAGTGGTAGAACACATGGCTGTCCTGTATGAGGCCCAGCACTTGATACACGGTGTCACACACAAATGATTTCCTTGATTGAAGTGACTTTTAGAAAGTGGTATTTCACATGGGGAAACTAAGAGTGGAAATATCAGTTTTGGGTTTTATTTTGTTTTTTTTTTCTTTGTGGGCTCTGCTCAAAACATAATCCAGGCTCTGTGCTCAGGATTGGCCATATGCAGGAGGAACCACCTGGCTGTGCTTGGAAATTCTGTCTCTGTGCTCAAGGATCACTCCTGGCAGGACTTAAGGGACCACATATGGCACCAGAGATAGAATAGGTCTTTCTTTCAGATAAATTTCACAGGTCTTTTGAGTTTCCTCGTACGATGTTGCCTGGGAGCCACTTTAAACTTTTCTGAAGAAATTGCCATATGGCATCCGAAACTAAACAGTAATGTAGTACATTCTGACCATTACAGCGCCCTCCTTCTAAATACTATATTTTTATTCAAGTCACAGATTTATATTCACTTTTTTTATTTGTTATATCTTCCAGGTGACTGGTTGGGTATTGTTCTCATGGAAGGCCAATAGCCATCTGTATTTAAAAGAATATTTCAGGCAGAGGAAAAGGACTGTGTTTGTACAGCAGGAAATCTAAACTTATCCAGGAAGTTTATTATTCTTCTCCTTGCATCCAGAGGTCCTGGTCTACTTCTCCCTCCATCTCACTGGCCAGAAAGGAGACATTATATTTAGGCCTTGAACTGTCACATGTTAGTCAAGGTTTTGTTGCTGAGTAAATAAGAGAGAATAGAAACTCAGACTTGTAGCAGTCCCTGCTATTTATTCAGCTACCAAAGTTTCCTCCTTTGCTAATTTTTTTAAATGACTGATTGTTTGCTTTGACCTCTTTTTTCAGTATTTGTTGAGATTGGTGGGCATTTTTCTCTTTTTGAAACCACAACTGTAGAGAATCACATTCCCAGATATTTTTTTTCCTAATGGCATTCTATTTTTGTTCGTATTTTTGCTTGTTTTAATATGCTACTAGACTTTGTATACTATTTATTTTTAGAGTATTTTCATATATGCATAAATGAGAGAGATCTATAATTTTCCCTTTTTTGTCTAGAAAGTCTGTCTAGTATGAATTTCCAAATGAGACTGTCTTTATAAAATGTGGGGGGTGGTTCCATCCTCTTCCTCTCCTCTGGAACAGTTTGCATTAATAGAGATTTTTCTGTTCCTCTCCTGGGAAACCATCTGGGCCTGGCCTGTTGTTTGCTTACATGTAGATTTTTTACTGGAGGATTGATACCTTTTGTTTCAGCTTTATCCAGATCCAATTCTTCTTGAGACCTTTTATTTATTTATTTCTTGGGGGGGTGGGTCACACCTGGCGATGCTCAGGGATTTTTCCTGGCTCTGCAATCAGGAATTACTCCCGGCGGTGCTTGGGGAACCATATGGGATGCTGGGGATTGAACCCTACTCAGCCGCATGCAGGTTAACACCCTACCCGCTGTACTATCACTCCAGCCCCTTGAGGCCATTTTGATCAGTCATATTTTCCTTGGACATTGGACGCTTGGTCTAATTGTTCATTTTGTTTATAGAATTCTTTTTTTTTTATTTTTTGCTTTTTTTGGGAGGGGACAGGGGAATCACACCTGTCGATGCACAGGGGTTACTCCTGGCTCATGCGCTCAGGAATTACTCCTGGAGGTACTCGGGGGATCAAATGGGATGCTGGGAATCAAACCCGCGTCAGCTGCGTGCAAGGCAAACGCCCTACCCTCTGTGCCCCTGTTTATAGAATTCTTAAAGCATATTTTGTGCCTCAGTTTTACAAGGTGATCTCCTATTAGGCTTTCATCAAAGAATTCGGGTTTTTGTTTTATCAATTCTCTTAAATTCATCAGGTTTTTGTTCGAGTTCTTTCATAGTTTCTTTTGGGTTCCTTACGTCTTGACTTGACTGCTTAGTTCTCAGTTTCCATGTTTCTTACTAATATATGCATATAAGAGTCATGATTATGCAGACCACTAATTAGCACTCTTAGGGTCTATTTGTTCAGTAACTAATGTACCTAATTGTCCTTACTTCCTGCCCATCTCTACATCCGCCTATGGAGACATTATGAGCGATGTTGCAGCTGCCTTGTCTAAACCCAGGTGCACCACCTCCCGTGTTTTTCAGCGCATTCATCTTAATAATCCTGGCCAAGGGAAAACAGAGGGAGGCCTGAATTGTCTCTCAGCCTCATAATCACCAGCACTCACAAATTATCCTTTTAGCATTTACTTACGCACCAGAGGTGCAAAATCTTTCTTCTCTAGTTCCCAAATATCAACAATAGCAATTCCCATCCCTGCTTTGATTTGCATAAGCCTTTCTCTGAGCACATATGCACTTGGTTTCAACCAGCTCAGCGCTGAGCTTTCTGTTCTTTTGCTAACACCCTTTGGGTGTGAATTGTATTCTCCTTGACAGAAAAGACAAGATCAATTGGGATTTTTGGGAGGAGGGAGGACAGCTGATGTCTCTATGTCCTTTCCATTCTCTTTGCAAGAAAATGAGCTATAAAACAAACCAACAAACAGTGTGTGTGTTTGGTCTTGAACTGTTTGGACAAAATCCATTTCATTTGCCTCCTCGGTCTTCATGCTGCTCTTTGCACAGGCTGATGATAACCTCCTGCTTCCAATTTGAACAGATGCATCTAAGCCCACATTTCACTGAACAGCTCCCCGTGACACTGTGCTCCTCTGTACCTCTGGACTGTCAAGTCTTTTTCTCTCTAAAATGACAGGGGTTGGACCTGGGATCTACAAGGCCTTCCCCAGGCCTGAGACCTGGGCTGGCCTCTCCCGCAGGAAGCTGCCTGCTTGATTGAGCCATTATTCTCCACATCCTCAGAGCAGCGTTTGTGCTGAGAGTTGTTTCAAAGCTAGAAAGAAGGAAAGGGCCGAGAGGAGACTTTGTGCTAATAAAACTTAATTTCTTCTCCTTAATATGGAGAGGGATACTTGAGCGGAAGTCTCTGAGAAGAAGTGGGGATTTCCGGGAAACAAAACTAGATCCATGTACTTGGACATTGTAGCCTCGTTCTTCATCTGCCAGGAAACCTGAATGGGCAGTCCTCGGCCCCTGAGCCGGTGTTTGATCTGCGACTACCAAGAAAATGAGGATTAAACTGTCTTTCAAAGGCTGGAGACAGGGTGAAACTAAAATATGCATAACACATGGAAACCAGCAGGCCTGTTCAAACTCATTACCATAAGAGACTCTATTCTCCATCCTTCCACAAAGGGAAAATACGATAAGACACATCAGTTCTGTACTACTTTATCTGGTGCGGTTAAAATGAAAGTTTTCCGGTGCTCAATCTGTAACCGAGCCACAGAACGCGTTTTGTTTTGTTTTGTTTTTCCTGCTCTCTTGCAACTCCTTACTCTAATGTAAGCCAGGTGTGATTGTTTTTGTTAACTCACATTGAACTGGATTCTTTGCCTGTATCTGCTTACTCTCCAGCATCTCACAAATGGCAATCATTGTCATACAGGAGTTGCCCGATGAATTAAGTGGATGATTGTTGAAGGCAAAAGATTGGTCTTTTCTTAAACTCTGCAAAGGCAGCCACAGAACAAGTTCCTCAAGGGGCAATTTGAGGCTTGCAGTTCAAAATTACAGAAAGTCACTTCCTGGAAAGACTTCCAGACCAGAGGGCTGAGGCCCAGGAGGATTTGTTCATCCTTGTGCTCAATCTGGGTGCCTTTTCTCAAAAGTGTACCCCGATCTGGTGTGAAATACTAGCACTGTCTGTAGCGCTGTCCTCCCATTGTTCATCGATTTGCTCAAGCGGGCACCAGTAGCATCTCCATCCTGAGACTTGTTGTAACTGTTTTTAGCATATTGAATACATCATGGGTAGCTTGCCAGGCTCTCTGAGAGGGGCAGAGGACTCGAACCCGGGTCGGTGACATTCAAGGCCTTACCCGTTGTGCTATCGCTCCAGCCCTCAGTTAGCTTAAACACACTTCCTGGAATGCTCGAGAACTTGAGTTTTATCTCTGGCACTATATGGTCTGGCAAGCTCCCCGTGGGATATTCTGTATACCAAAAACAGTAACAGCAAGTCTCACTTCGTGTTCCTGGAGCAAGCAGATGCCGTTGGGCTACACTAGCACCTGACAGGGACGAATGAAGACGTTACTGGTACCCACTCGAGCAAATGACCAACAGGATGACAGGGCTGCAGTGCTAAGCTTACTGAGAATTTAAGAGTTCACTTAAAGAGAAATACTTAGGCCAAAGAGATAGTCCAGGGGGGCTTGAGTGGATACAAGAGGCCCAGACTTGATTCTGGTTACCTCCTGTCTCCCCAAGCATGGCCAGGAATAATCCTCGTGCATAAAACCCCAGCCCCCTCCACACCACCAGGTGAGGCCCAGAGAGATGCTTTTTTTTTTTTTTTTTTTTTGGTCACACCTGGCGATGCACAGGGGTTACTCCTGGCTCTGCACTCAGGAATTACTACTGGCAGTCACCATATAGTATGCCGGGATTCAAACCCAGGTCAGCCACCTGCAAGGCAAACGCCCTACCCGCTATGCTGTCTCTCCAGCCTCTCAGAGAGATGCTTAACTTGGTCACTAACTTCCTCAGAGCTTCTTATCCGAGACATAGACTTTCAGATGCTGGATAGGCCACTTGGCCCTGGATGCTGCCAATACCTAAAGACTTGTTTGAAATTGGGCTTTTCCTCACCTTCCTTGGATCTGGTGTCTGAATTGTGCTCCCTCGGGCCACGCTCCCTTCAGCCAGCCTGGAGACCTCATTTAGGGCACTTCTCCAATCCCAAGTCCCTTCCAGATTAGGCCAGATCACTACAGGGGTCTTCCTGCTATGTTCCCCAGCAGATTTTCAGACATACAAGTCCCTGCTCTTTTAATAGTACTCCAGACCACTGCAGGATGAATTTCCTGCCCAGAATATAGGCCCAGATATGCCATTTCTTGGCTTGGTTCTGCTTATTTCCATGTCCATTCTATCCACTTGCATGGAACTGAGAGCTTTTCATCATGGAAACTTGTATTGTGAGCTGGGAAATACTACTTATTCACATCAAGGTTTCCCCCATCATCTGAAAACAGAATGCTCCTGTTTGGTACTATTTAGATGGTGGCCTTGGGCTGGGGATCTGAGAGTCTGTGACCATTAATTTTAATGGAAAAAATTATTTGAGCATTGCCAGACCCATAGGTAGTCTTATCAACTCTTACTAAATAGAAACATTCTGCTTTCAAATAACAGAAGGAACAGATACTCAACACAAAGTGACTGTAGCAATAAATGCTTTCTCATTTAACAAGAAATCCAGGAGTCAGAGCGATAACACAGCGGGTAGGCGATTACCTTGCACTTGGCCAACTGGATTCAGTCCCCGGCATCCCATAGGGTCTCCTGAGCACCACCAGGAATGATTCCTGAGTGCAGAGCCAGGAAGAACCCCTGAGAATCACCGGGTGTGACCCCAAAAACAAATAAAAAAACCCTAAAAAACAAAGAAATCCCATGTAGGACCCAGGACTGGTTACCCACCCCACCAACTCGCACCCCTGTTTCTGCCCTGCCATCCTCAGCAGGCTGACTCATGCCCTCACTACAAGTGACTGCCACACCTGGACCCCCATATCCACCCTCACTTATCCCTGCAGAAACGAAATAGAATATTGTTTTCCCCCAGAACCCCACCCCAACCTACCTCAGTCCAGCAAACCTGCTCATGAGGACTTATCTTTTTTTTAATTGTTTTAGTGCATTACAAAGCCATTCATGGTTGGATTTCAGTCATACAGTGTTCCAGCACCCATCCCTCCACCAGTGGACATTTCTCAGCACCAGTGTCCCCCACCCCCTGCCTACCTCTATGGCAGGTGCTTTTCTTCTCTCTCTCTCTCTCTCTCTCTCTCTCTCTCTCTCTCTCTCTCTCTTCTCATCGTGGTTTGCAATATTGATACTGAAAGGTTATCAAGAATATCCCTTACCTACTTCTAACCCTCAGATCTTATCCAGCGTGATCATTCACTCCCAGCTATTATTGTCATACTGGTCTCTTCTCTATCTTACTTCCCCTCTGCCCCACACACACATGTGGTTAGTTCCAGCCACTGACCAATTCATGAGGACTTATTCTATCAGAGGTTCTTTCCATTAGGGTTTGCATTTCATTTACCCCATCCACATACACCTCGGAATCCTATTCACCAGAATTAGCGGTCAACCTGTTTTGTTTCCTTTAGACATTACCATAGGCCTGCAGTACCGCTCTCTGCCTCTTGGGGCATTCAACTCTTTACAGCCTCCAGACCAAGCTGCCAATGTACTCCAGTCCCGTTACTCTCTACCAGGCTTGTGATCCTGGTACGTTCCTCACTCTGGTTCCCTTCTGCCCTTGCAGTGTTTGTCCATGTGACCTGATAGGTGAAAAGTGTCCCATTTCAGCCTCCCGGCTTTCTCATGGCCGTTATCAGAGCCCCTGTATCTAGCAGGAGCAGGTCGTTAAGTTGGCTGTTCGTTAACATTGTTCTGGTTTGGTTCACAGGTCCGGACTGCCAGTATTGTCTCCCAAGACGGGGAACAGAACGGTCTCATGGGGCGAGTGGACGAAGGTGTGGATGAATTTTTCACCAAGAAAGTGACCAAAATGGATTCCAAGTGAGTTCACAGGGGTTTTTTTTTAATTCTTTTGTTTAATTCACATTTAAATGACTAAGTTAAATTCAACTTGGTCTACTCAGTCTCCCTGACTGTGTGTTTGATTATTTTAACATGAAGCTATTCTAGACATTTGCACAATGCGTTTTCCCTACCAGGAACATCACTGTCAACCTGGGAACTTGTTACAAATGCAAATTCTCAAACCTCTACCTCAGACAGTTGAATCAGATATTCAGCAAGTGGAACTCAGTGATCTGTAGTAAAATAAACCTCTTGGCATGTTCAGATTAGATAGCGGTTAGACTGTTGTAAATTAGACCACACCATGTACCACTTGGGATCCTTTTGCGGGGCTCGATTACATTCGCCTGGATTTGTCTGTTCTAGGGCAACAGCACTGGCAGCTAAAATGCCTTGTTTTCAAATCCTCCTTGTTCATTGTTATTTTTTTGATTGGATCATCATGACTTATACAGAGTCACAAAGTTGTTCAATATTAAGTTTCAGGCGTACAATGTTCCATTCCTAATCCCTTCACTAGTGTCCACTTCCATTCACCAATTCTGCCCATCCTGCCTCTATGGCAGGCACTTTGACCCGCTGCCACTGTCCTAATGTCCTTGACCACTGTTAATAAATATAGGGCCCTAGCAATGCACAGCGGGTAGGGCGTTTGCCTTGCATACGACCGACCTGGATTCGATCCCTCCGCCCCTCTCAGAGAGCCCGGCAAGCTACCAAGAAAGTATCCTGCCCACATGGCAGAGCCTGGCAAGCTCCCTGTGGCATATGCCAAAAACAGTAACAACAAGTCTCACAATGGAGATGTTACTGGTGCCCGCTAGAGCAAATCAATGAACAACGGGACGACAGTGCTACAGTGCTACCTCAAATATACGGATTACTAGGTGGCACAACTTCAATGCTGTCAAATAGAACCAGCAGCAAATGACCTTCCAAGTTAGCCTCACAGAGCTTCTGCTCACATTTTCTTTCTGGGATGGCATTCTCTTAGAAGACAATTTTATGACACTTTTTTTGGGGGGGGTCATGCCCAGCGATGCTTAGGGGTTACTCCTGGCTCTGTGCTCAGAAATTACTCCTGGCCATGCTTGGGGGACCATATGGGGTGCCAGGGATTGAACCCTTGTCGGCCACGTGAAAGACAAACGCCCTACCTGCTATACTAGTGCTCCCTCTGGCCCCAATTTTATGGTACTTTTGTGAACAATTTTCTACCCTGAAGTACTCCAGTCGTCAAGCCTGATTTGTGTCAAGTTAGTTAAATCCCCCAGTAAATGCAGATCTTTCCCAAAACACACTCATGACGAGGACTTGAGTTTGTGAAGTATTCACTTTGAAATAATAAATCCAGGAATGAATTTAAACCACATAGATAAGCTCTGAGGATGGAGTGGACTTGGCTGGGTCTGGGCAGGGTAGAAACCACACTGTTCTCTAGATTAATGTGTCTTATCTTGCCTCAACGGAATGCAAGGTGGAAGGAAGTTACATTTCTATATGCAGAACTGTATAACATATGGACGGTTATAAGCTGTAGTGCCCAATTATTTGTCTTCTGTGACACTAGCCTTGAAGCTTGACATATAAACTTGGAAAAATTCTATTTTTAAAAAATATCTTTAAATAACCAACCTAAATGTCATTTCTTCTTTGAAATGCTCTCACACCTGCTAACCAACACTACCCAACTCCCTCCCCCCTCCCCCCCACCCAATTAATTGCTTTCTTGACTGCTGATTCAGTGTTTTATCTTCTGTTTCATCCTCCATGCACACATCTGTTAGGGGACACATAATCATCTGGGAGTTGTTTTCTGTTTTTGTTTTTTCTCAGTGTAAAAAAAAAAGTGCATGAGTGTATTTTCCATGTCAGATAATTCAGCAATACCAACCTAAATAGAGTAAAATGGAAAACGCCTTTTAGTTCGTGGCTAAACCTTTTTTTCTACTTTTAACTTCACTGTCTGACTCAGCCTATAATCTATAGTCTGTTCTTGATTACTACTGGCTAAATGAACGTAAACCATCTCCTACATCTGGATGCTACAGACACTTGGCCCCGAGCTGGTATACCTGCTCCCCAATCTGATTTTCTCTGCCCTGACTGCTTGGGTTCAAGGCTTACTCCCGCCTCAGGGATCACTCAGGTTCCAGGGACCATTGTGGGTACCAGGGATTGAAATTTGGTAGACAGCATGCCAGGCAAATGCCCAACTCATTGCCCATATGTTCTGGCTCCTTCTTCTTTAATAGGCTCTCATTGAACATTAAACAATTTTTTTTCAATTTTTAAAAAATTTTTAATGAATCACCATGAGGTTCAGTTACAGACTGACAAACTTTCGTGATTACATTTCAGTCATACAATGATCAAGTACCCATCCCTCCACCAGTGACCATTCTCCACCACCAATTGTTTGTAATCTTTCTTACTCTTTCTATTTCAAAATTTTGTGTTTTTGTAAACAGAAAAGGGGGAGATGTAGGGCAACATTGCTTTGTCCTTCCACAAGAAACAGGTTTATCTGGTTACACCCATTAATCTGGTTACACCCATCAATCTGGTTACACCCATCACAGTGCTCCTTAAGTACTTCCACTTCCATTGTGTTTATCTGTAAACAGTCCAGTATCCCTCTCACACCCCCATCCCATCCCATCCACCTGCCTCTCTGGCAGGCACATTCTCTTTTGCCCTCTCTCTCTTCTTTTGGGTGTTATGGCTTGCAATACAGGTAGTAAGTGCCCATCCTGTTTGGTCTATTTTCTACTTTCAGCATGCATCTCCCATCCCAAGTGAGCCCTCCAGGCATCATTCACTTAGTGGTCCCTTCTCCATTTCTATCCCAACTGCCTTTTCCCCCAGCATGTGAGGCCTGCTTCCAAGCCATGGAGCGATTCTCCTTGCCTTTATCTCTATTATCCTTGGGTGTTAGTCTCCCATTCTATTACTTTATATTCCACAAATGAGTGCAGTCATTCTATGTCTGTCCCTCTCTCCCACTGCGCGAATTCTTAAGGAATAAAATGCATTTTCAACATTCCAGAGTACAAACAGAACCAGTTCCATCAACTTCCATTAAATAATGATGAGCTCTACCAGAAGCTGTGATTTGTTTTCTCTTCATTTTCATCACAAAAAACAGATTATTGTCAGGGCTTGAAGGGCACTTGCCTTGCATGCGACTGACTTGGGTTTGATTCCTGGTACCACATTTGGTCCCCTGAGCCTGCCAAGCCAGGAGTGATCCTGATCATTACTGGGTGTGGCACAAATGAAAAAAATAAATAAAAGGCCACTTGGCAACATGCCAGCAGGTTGGATGTTAGCGCACTCAGGTCCCCAAAGCATGAGTCTTATCTGCAGGATCACAGGAAGCTTTTCTAGGGAAATGATGAGGATGGGTTGCAGACCATTGCTTCCTGGAACTGGTCTCCTAAAGCAAATCTCATCTCATCTCCACGCCAACACAGAGACAGGACAAAGGAGGAACACTGACCTGATCTGTTTTAGGCTTTTTTAAAATTTTACTTTAGAATAGCCCTTTGTAGAGTTAGGGATTGGGATTGGATTACTCCAGGAAGTACTCAGGGTCTAATCCAGGCTCTGGTGCTCAGGAGAGACCCCTGGTGGTGCTAGGGGTTCTCACTGGGGTGACCTCAGGCCTGGCCAGCATTTTCTGCTTCTCTGCTGCCTCTGAGAGGCTTTTGAAAAATAAATTAGTTTAAAGCCCCTTGTTTCTTATTCTCCTCCTTATCCTCCAGAAGTAATTCAGTCATATTCCTTTAGCTGTGTGTTTTTACATTTTGTTTCTACCTTCCTTGTAGATGTAACATGTATGTGTGTGTTTTCTATTTCCTATTTTTTTTAGTTCTAGATAATAATTCTAACTATTGACATCTGGAGGATGATAATTCAGCTCCTGCACATTGGAACCTGCCACCTTCCAAGAACACACATATACTTTCCTCTCTGCACCTTCTGTTAAGGGCCTAATTGCAGTCAGATCAATATTCAGTGTTCATTATAACCTAATAAGTGTCCACAACTGGATTACAAAGTAGACTGTGATTACATTTCCCCCCCGTAGCACAACATCCTGGTTTCTGGAGTCAGTAACTGCCCCCATTTGTCTTGTCTTCTTCTGTGTGCCTGTCACTGATCAGGTCCTGCATCCCCAGTGAAGGTGTGAATCTTCTCTGTTCAGCATACTCTGGATTCTGCTCGCCATACTCTGAATTTTGACCAGCTTCTGAGTCGGTCCCTGGGGAAGCCCTGTGTGAGATTAGCACCCGGGCCCCTGCGGGGTGGGTATTCTGGTGCCTTCCTCTTTCAGCTTCTGTAGTTATACTTGTGTTGTCGGCTGCAGCGTCCTTTCTCATGATGTCGTGTGTTCAAGGTCATGGTCGCCTGCTGGTCTGCGTCTCAGTGATCAGCCCCTAACCCTGGCCTGTCCCACGGTACTCACACTGAGTTAGCGTCACCTTTCACGCAAGCTCTTGAGGATCCACTCATCTGCCTCTGGGATTCTGTGGTGTGTGTCCCACCGCTGGTGGTACATCTCACAATGCTTTCTTTGCTTGCTTATTTATTTTTTTTGGTGAAGCAAGATTTTATTGAGACACTTAGATGTGAGCGAAGAGAAAGAAGTTTGTGTTCGTGAGAGGACAGAAGACAGAGTAGACACGGGTAAGCAAAGAAACACAGAGACCAGTTGAAGGGATAACCCGGGCCTGTGGAGCAAGCAAAGCCGGGCACACTTTTGCCATTCCCTTTTCTTCCCGTGTTTGCTTTCCATGAGGGCATTTGTTCTCTTCCGTGTTGGAATGGAGACGCTCATGAACCTCTGAGGATTGTAAATTGACTTGACTGACCTGTGGGCTTCGGAGTCAGGGGACCCTTACATTTGTCAGGGGACAGTCTTCCTGAATGTTAGACCTTCTGGAGTTTTCCTTTGCACTTATAGATGGGGAATGTAGGTCTCCTGCCTGGAGGGGGCTGGAGTGAGGCCCAGAGTGAGGGGCCCTGCTGGAGGGTCAGTATTCCTCAGGCTGGTCTTCTTGGGCCTCCTGTTCTCAACCATTCTCTCTTCTCCTTTGTGCGTCTAGCTCTCTGCTCCTTGGTTCAGGCGAATTTGGGGTAGTGACATTCTCCTCCTAAGCCCCCTTCCCTTCTCTTTTTGGAGATGCTTGCTGGACCTTTTGGGGGGAGCCAGGGTATATCTCTTTGCTTGGGGGAGGGGGGGTGGTTCTCCTTTTGAAGCCTGAGGGTAGGGAAGGCCATTTTCACTCCTAAGGAGTTAGTCTTCCAAACCTGGTTGTTTTTCTTTTTTCTCCCTTAGGGGGTCATCTGCCTTGATGATCGCTTTTTAATCTCTTGCAGTGATTCTAATGGGGGCTCTGGGGAGGTGAAAGGTATTCAGTCTGCCTGCCTTAAAGGCACTGCTGCTGTTTCTCACGCCTGCATTTACACTTGCTCCCCATCGGTAACCCCAGCCACCATAGACTCCTGATAAACTCTCCACTCAAGTTCACTGTCTGTTAGTCTTCACTGCATCTCTCCGTGGAGTATGGGTTTCAGCAGGGATCCAAATATTTGCTTGCATCAATTGGGAAGTTTGGGATTTCAGGCATTATCTACTGACTGAAAGAATTGGTATGTGTGGGAGGTGGAGGAGGAGAGAGTATCCAGGAAACAATTCTGATGCCCACAGCAGCAAATAAGGCTGCCACCCACACCTCTCTGTTTTAGTGTATCCAACTCTGTTGAAATTTCTTCTGTTGGGGGAAGTGTTTTGGGGCCACCCCCAGTGGTTCTCAGGGTCCATTCTTGGCTGTGTGCTCCCTGAAATCATCTGCACCTGTGGCCAGCACCGTCCCGCTCTCTCTGGCCCCATTGGAATTTCTCCCAGGTGGAAAGAGACTCTTGATTATAGCGTGTGTTTTTGTTTGTTTGTTTGTTTTGTGTTTTTTTTTGAGGGGGGGTGTCACACCCGTGATGCTCAGCACTCAGGAATTACTCCTGGTGGTGCTGGGGTGACCATATGGGATGCTGGGACTCGAAACCATGATTAGAGCTTTTGAGGCCACCAATAGTCCTCCTCCCTTTGCCTGCAACCCTGCCACTAATGTCTCCAGCCTACGTTTGAGCCCGTTTGCCCACCTGTGGCTGGGCGTCTACTCTCACTCCCTTGCCCTTCCTGTGGCCTGGACCCAGGGGCCCAACAGGCTTTTGTTTTGTTTTGGGTGTGGGGGGGGGGGCATCACATCAGCGATGCTCAGGAGTTCCTCCTGGCTCTGCATTCTGGAATTATTCCTGGCAGTACTCAGGGGACCATATGGGATGCTGGGACTCGAACCTGTGGTTAGAGCGTTTGAGGCCGCCTGCAGCCTTGCCACTGATACCTCCAAGCCTGCGTGTGAGCCCATCTGTCCCCCGTGACTGGGCGTCCACCCTCGCCCCCCGCCCCTCCCGTGGCCTGGACCCAGGGCCCACCGGCTTTGCTGTCTTGAACCCCAGGTCGTCCGCCAGGGGCTCCGAGGGCCACGAGCCCGGCGACGCGGGAGACGAGAAGAAGAAGCGCGAGTCCCGGCGGAGCGGCTTCCTGCACCTCATCAAGTCCCGCTCCCGGGCCGAGCGGCCCCCGACGGCGCCCGACGAGCCCGCGTCCCCCAAGGGCGGCGTCCGCAGCCCCGCGGCCGCCCCCACGGACACGCCGCGCCGGGAGCACAACGGCGGCCCCGACAGGCCCGAGGAGGCGCAGACCCCCGACGCCCTGGACGACGGGCCCGGGGAGGACGCGGGCAGGCCCGAGCGCAGCGACAGCAGGGGCAGCCCGCAGGGCGGACGGCGCTACGGGGTCCAGATGATGGGCAGCGGGCTGCTGGCCGAGATGAAGGCCAAGCAGGAGCGGCGCGCCGCCTGCGCGCACAAGGTGAGGCGCCGACGGACGGACCGACGGACGGACGGACGGACGGGCTGGCCTTGGGTCGTGGAAAAATCCCCAAGCTGGGAGACACACTGACAGACTGGCTGGCTGACTGACTGACTGGCTTTGGGTCATGGAAAACTCTACAAGCTGGGGGGCGGAGGGAAGAGGGACAGACGACAGACAGACAGACGGACAGACTGGCTTTTGATCATGTAAAACTCACCAAACCGGAGGTGGAGAAGGGTGGAGAGAGAGAGGGGGAGACAGACAGACTGACAGGCTGACTGAGTTTTGGTCATGTAAAACTCCTCAAACTGCATGTGTGTGGCAGGGAAGAGAGAGACTTGACTGACTGACTGACTGACTGACTGACTGATTTTTGGTCATGTAAAACTTCCCAAACTGGGGGGTGGGGTGGAGACAGAGAGACAGACTGACTGACTGACTTTTGGTCATGTAAAACTCCTCAAACTCTGTGTGTGTGTGTGTGTGTGTGTGAGGGGGGGGCGGGTGTGAGAGAGAGAGGAGAGACTGACAGACTGAGTGACAGAATGACTGGCTTGGGGTCATGGAAAACTACAAACTGGGGGGCGAAGGGGAGAGGGACAGATGCCAGACAGACAGACAGACTGCCTTTTGATCACGTAATACTCAACAAACCGGAGGTAAAGGAGGGTGGAGAGAGAGATGGAGACTGACAGACTGACAGACTGACTGAGTTTTGGTCATGTAAAACTCCTCATTCTGAGTGGGGTGGAGGGGAGAGAAAGAGAGGAGAGAGACTGACTGACTTTCTTTTGGTCATGTAAAACTCCCCAAACTGAGGTGGGGGCGGGGCGGGGTATCAGTGGGGCAAGATTGACTGACGGTTGGTCAAGTAAAACTCCCTGAACCCAGAGACTTCTTTCCAGGCACAGACCAGGAGAGGGAAAGCCACGCTGACCTTTCACCCCACTGGAAGGGCCTCACTCCTCTAGAGAGCCTCGGCCCTGAAGGTGGGGCAGGTGGGACGTGGCCTGAGGACAGAATATGGGGCTCCCTTTGTCCTCTACCTGGAAGTCTGGTACAGCTGGTCCCCCAGAACGCTCACCTGGGGGAAAGATTATGTCTTTTGAAACCTACGGGCCACTGTCAATCAGAGACCAGCAGGCATATAAACTCACGAAACTGAGTCCTAAAGACATGAGGCTAGAACCTTATTTCCTGTTATTTTAATCATTCATTTCCTTTTCCAAGCCTGAATGCCTTGCCAGAGTCTAGATTAAAGTCGAAAGAAAGTGGGGCGTGGTCTCTTAGAGTTAATTGAACGTGGCATCATTAAATGTCTACCTGTAGACATTTAAGAAAAACTTGTTTAAAAATTGCTTAAAACTTAAAATTGCTTAAAACTTGTTTAAAAATTGCTAAGTTGCCCCCAGATCTTACGTACATTAGTTAGCTCTTCAGCCTCTTTCTAAAATAGAAGATCTGGTTTCTGGAGGCTGTTTGCAGGCCTGTGTCCCTGGTGAAGCTCAGTATATCCATGTCTAATCCAACTCTTGGTGTTCTTTCTGATCCTGGGTTCCTGTATGTTTTAAATACTGTGACCCCCAGGAGAAAGGGACATTGTTCGTCTCCTTTAGTCAAAGAAGCGCAGTAAAATATTTACCCCTAGAGACCTCTGTTCCACATCCTAAATAACCAGTTAAATTTTTCCATTCCATCCTGCAACCCACCTGATTTTCCAGCTTCTGTTATGATGCATAGTTCTTCAGTAGGACCATCTAGTAGTTATAAATTCCTCCCAACTCTCATTAATCCTTCCGGAAGAGTTTGAATGGATGCGTATCCCCCATTTTGTGCTTATTCCCCAAGTGAGGCATGATGTGGGCCCCACAAGTTAGAAATTTGACGGAATACAGTAACCATATCCGGGGTGAGTCAGGCGCCCAAGGAACTGTTTTAAACTTTAATCAGTTTTATAGAATTTCTTTACAACAATGAACATCCAATTTTCTCTAATGAGCTGTTTATTTTATCAGTTTCCACTGGTGAACAGTTGCCTTTTGGTAGAAAGATGAAAAGTGCTAGAGGGTTTTTTCCATGTGCTTTAGATTTGACATATAAATTGTCTCCTAGGAACAACATTTTAGTTATTTTAATTCATTGGCGGTTCACACCAGTGATCTGTTAGCGCCATCTAGTGATTACTTAAAATAGTAGGGCTAATAGAAATCTCAAGTATTCAAAATCTAACCATTTGGGGAGTATTTAACAGAACAATCAGAAGAGGTTTCCCGTATTGGTTTTTACATATTTCATCTAGAATCCCCTCACTGTATTCTTTATCAAATTAGTAACATTAGTAGTTAATATGCTATCGATTTTTTAAAAATCAATTGCTATCTTCATTCTCCTCTTAATTCACTTAACAAGATTCATATCTAATACATGTATTAAAAGGAAAATAATTGAAAATGAGGATATGACAGGATTTGGGAACAGAAGTGTTTCCACAAAGTGTTCCAGATGTAACTTTTCTTACTTTATTCTTAATAAGCACAGCTGTCATTTGGGGGATTAATCACTCCTCTATAAATTGGGGGAGGAAAAGGAAAAACAACTCTGAGGGTTTTTTTGTTTGTTTGTTTGTTTGTTTGTTTGCTTTTTGAGTCACACCTGGAGATGCACAGGGGTTACTCCTGGCTCTGCACTCAGGAGTTACTCCTGGCGGTGCTCAGGGGACCATATGGGATGCTAGGGATCGAACCCAGACCGGCCACATGCAAGGCAAATGCCCTACCCTCTGTGCTATCTCTCCAGCCCCTGAGGTTTGTTTTTAAATGCAAGATTGAGTTGTAAATTTTGTCCAGGGTGCAAAATTCAAAGACACATTCATTCTTGGGTGCTGGCCCTGCCTGTCCGTGAGCCTGAAAGGGAGAGTCTCTTTAAATCTTATTTGACACACTTTTTCCCTAGTCCCACGTTACTGATCTCCTCTGAGCCTAGATGCTTATGTCCCTTGGCTCTGCACTCAGGGATCACTTGTGGCCCTGCTCAGAGGACCATATAGGATGCCAGGGATCAAACTCAGAGAGGCTTCATACAGAGCAAGTGTTCTACACACTGTACTATCTTTCCAGCCCACCACCCTCCAGGCACTGAACTTGTGAGAACTGGTCAATACAGCTTTTGGAGAGTTCTGACTCAAAGGTTGATGTACCTGCTGGTGCTGGCTGGGACAAGGTAAAAGTCCCATAACTGCACATCCTTGTCCTGTGCCCAGAATCTAGTGGTGGCCTCTGGCACCGAGTTGTTTTTTCCAAGGTCACATCCTTTATGTGTTGATGATGCCAACATCTGATGCTTGTGCCCACATGGCCTCTCAGAACCCAGCTCAGCTCCTCCACTAGTGAATGGGAAACTTTTCTGGTCTGGCTGGGAAGATTCTGAGCTTTCCTGCTCCAGAGCTGGGGTCCCTGGCCTGGAGGTGACTGTGGCCATTGGGTAGATGGATGAGATTTCAGCTGCATGTCAGATCAGGCCTCTGTGGCAACAAAACTCTAGTTATTCTTAATATTTTTTAATTAATTCTTTTAAAAATATTAATGAATCACCGTGAGGTACAGTTACAGACTTACAAACTTTCGTCATTATGTTTCAGACATACAATGATCGGAGTACCCATCCCTCCACTAGTGCCCATTGTCCACCACCAATGTTCCCAGTATCCCTCCCGCCACCCCCACCCCTTCCCACCCCCTGCCTCTGTGGCAGACACATTCCCTCTTACTCTCTCTCCCCTTTTGGGTGTTATGGTTTGCAATATAGGTACTAAGCAGCCATCATTATTTTCCCAACAAAGCAGAATGGCTCCACTGAGGGGCGTAAAGATTTGCCCTTGCCCTCAGACATCAGGCAGAGCTTACAGCTAGGACACATGATGGAAGCGTATCAAGCCCGAGTTGAGCAGGAACTGCCAAGCTGTCTTAGGGGTGATCTCAGGAAGCACCTGCTGCTTTCTCCCTGCGCACCTCATTTTGGGTTTTGGACAGGAGGTGGGTGTGAATCTTCTTTGTCGATAGGGTTCTCAGGAATTATTGAGCAGGTACTGGGTTTTTCTAGTGTTTTCTTTTTCTAGCTAGGTTTTTCTAGGAGGTACTAGGTTTTCTAGATGTGTCACCCGCATCTCTCCTCTTGAGATGTGTACTTTCATGTTTTCATGTCTAATGTTGGGATGTGTATAGGGGCTGTCTCCGCCCTTGGAGAAGCCCGGGTTCCCTTTTGAGTCAGTTACTCTCTACTCCCTCTCACTTTCTCTCCCTCCTTCCCTTCAAAACCTCCAAATAAAAACTGTGTAATTTCCAAAAAAAAAAAAAAATAGGTAAGGGATATTCCTGATAACTTTTCAGTATCAATACTGCAAACCACAATTCCCAAAAGGAGAGACAGACAGACAGAAGAAAAGCATCTGCCATAGAGGCAGGCAGGGTGTGTGTGTGTGTGTGTGTGTGTGTGTGTGTGTGTGTGTGTGTTGGGGGTGATGGGAGGGAACCTCGGGACACTGGTGCTGGGAAATGTACACTGGTGGAGGGATGGGTGTCAGAACACTGTATGACTGAAACCCACTGATGGAAGTTTTGTAAAAAATAATAAATTAATTAAAAAAATAAAAGCAAACCAAAAAATGAGGCCCCTAGAGCCCCCCCCCGGAGAGCACTTAAGTGCAGAGCCTGCCTTAGGGGGAAGTCAAGTGAACAGCCCCCCAAGCTGGCAGGCTTCCTGACTCCAGGCAGCCTTGTCTGTGTATACCTCCCTGGAACCCATACCCTTTGGATAAGGCGGGAACAGAGCGTGTCCCTGCAGACAGGCACGGGGCAACAGGAGCCTGACAGTCGCTGATCTCTGAGGCGTTATTTGCTGCCAGTTTTCTTCTCCTTTGTTCTTGTTCTTCCACGTGAAATCAGTGTTTTTTGAGGGATTATTGATTTTTTTGTTTTTTAGAAGCTTGGGCATGAAGCCATCTCCCAGGACCCTTCCAGCCCGACCCTGAGCACGGAGCGGTCAGATGGAGGCGGGGCAGGTAAGTCCGGCCACTGCTGTCGCCCCCTTAGCGAGGGCGTGTGCCCCTATTCCAGGAGTCACGGTGGTAGGCAGTGCTGAGGCAAGAATGCGCCTCTGTGTTCAGTGCTCTCGGTTTTCACTTGAGAGACCACAGCTTGTCACCCGTGAGAGTGTCCCCCTGGCCGGGCCCCTGTGCAATTTCCCAGAAGGAAGAAACTGATGGAGCAACTCCCAAACTGGACAGGGGCCACGAAAAGCTGGTGGGGGGTGGGGGTGGGGGGATAAGACTGAGCCGTGTTCTTGGGGCCCCGAGGGCTGGAGCACGTGCCTTGCATGCATGAAATCCAAAGTGTGATCCCTGGCACTGCATGTCTCCCTCAGAGCCTGGAGAGGCCTCTAATTAGGAAGCAGTAATAGGGCTGTAGTGATAGTTTAGCAGGTAGAGTATTCGGCCTTGGTTCGATCCTCAGCATCCCATAGGGTCCCCTGAGCACCGCCAGGAGTAATTCCTGAGTGCAGAGCCAGGAGTAACCCTTGAGCATTGCTGGGTGTGATGCAAAAAGCAAAAAGGAAAAATAGAAAAAAAAAGAAAGAAAGAAAGAAAGAAAGAGAGAGAGAGAGAAAGGAAGGAAGGAAGGAAGAAAGAAAGAAAGAAAGAAAGAAAGAAAGAAAGAAAGAAAGAAGAAAGGGACTGGAGCAATAGCACAGTGGATAGGGTGCTTGCCTTGCACATGGCTGACCCGGGTTCAATTCCCAGCATCCCATGTGGTCCTCTGAGCACCGCCAGGGGTAATTCCTGAGTGCAGAGCCAGGAGTAACCCTTGTGCATCACCAGGTGTGACCCCAAAAGCAAAAGAAGAAAGAAAGAAATAAAGGGAGAGAGAGAGAGAAAGAAAGAAAGAAAGAAAGAAAGAAAGAAAGAAAGAAAGAAAGAAAAAGAAGCAATAATAACAACAGTAAGCCATGCCCTTGGTGTAGGGAAGTTGTTTTTTTTTTTTTTTTAATTTTTTTTTTATTAGTGAAACACCATGAGGTACAGTTATAGACTTACAAATTTTTGTGCTTGGGTTTCAGTTATATAATGATCAAGTACCCATCCCTCCACCAGCACCCATCCTCTACCACCACGGGTCCCAGCATCCCTCCCACCCCTCATCCCACCCTGCCTCTGGGGCAGGGCATTCCCTTTTGTTCTCGCTCTCTCCTTTTGGGTCCTGTGGTTTACAAGAGAGGCATTGAGTGGCAATCATGTTTGGTCTAGAGTCGACTTTCAGCATGCTTCTCCCATCCTGGGAGGATCCTCCCAACATGTAGGGAAGTTGTTTTATCACTGACTGTTGCATGGGTTGGTTTTTTCCTTTCAGTTTGAATATTCGTGAGTAGCTGATCCCCAGTATCCATTCCTCTGACCTCTCAGGCAAACTTTTGACCTCTAAGAGTTTTCTGTCTTTGATGGCAGCTGGGGGTTCCCTAGTCACTTCACACACCAGAAGCCTCATTTTGAAGACCTGCTCTTAGCTTTAAGAGCTTCAGACCGGAAGAGGTAGAAGAGAAATCGTAACTTAACTCAGCTGGTACTGGCCTGGGTTCTGGTCCGTGGTGGTACCTAGAGAGTCGGGGAGGTGGACAGGGCCTGAGATGGCATTTCTGAGCCAGGCACAGGAAACTTGCTGGCTCCTGGTCCAGGCCTGAGGCACCCCCAGTGGGTGCCCTCGCCGCACTTTGTAGCCGCAGGAGAGATGAGGCAGCGTAGCCCCTGGGCTCTGTGATGAGATGTTTCTGCTCATGGTAAAGCTTGGGGGTGTTGGCCATGTTCGGAAGAGCACCATCGAGTTCTTGGCCTTTCTGTGACAGTTATAATCTTCCACGGGCACATTCTGATCGACAGCTGCCACACGGAAATGGTGTGGGGCCATCCCTTTCAGAGATCAAGTGTACGGAAAAGGATAGAACTGGATATTTAGGCACCGGAGGGATAGTACAGCGGGTAGGGCATTGGCCTTACATGCGGGTGACCCAGGTTCAATCCCCAGCATCCTACATGGTCCCCCAAGCACTGCCAGGAGTAATTCCTGAGTGCAGAGTCAGGAGCAACCCCTGAGCATTGCTGGGTGTAACCCAAAAAGCAAAACCAAAAAACAAACAAACAAACAAAAAAATACCCTGGATTTTTAGTGGTGACAATGTGGAATTTATAAAAGGTAAATTTCAGGAGCCAGAGGGAATGATAAATAGGGAGAATGTTTGCCTTGCACATGGCCAACTGGGGTTCGTTTCCAGCATCCTATTTGGTCCCCTAAGCACCATCAGGAGTAACCCCTGAGCATGGCTGGACATGACCCAAAAAAAAAACCCAAATAAATAAATACAAAATGCGCGCGCACACACACACACACAGTGGAATTTTTGTAAGGGCTCTACTGACTGCAAGTTTATTACAGGCATTTGAACAATATATCTTCTTCCAATTAAAAAAAAAAAACCAAGGTTAATTTCAGTATGTACACCCGAAATTTTTATATAATGAATCACAGCGATTTCATTTATACTTTTGGTTCTGGGGCCACACCTGACCATGCTCAGGGATTGCTCCTAATGGGCTCAGCGTACCCTATGGGGAGCCGGGGATTAAACCCAGGTCTGCCGCATGCAAGGCAAGTGCCTTGCCTACTGTCCTCCCATGATGCTGGCCCCACAATTTGTAATAAGAGCCTTTCTGGGGATGGGGTGGTGGTGTTGAGCCACACATTGGTGGTGCCCAGAGATGACTCCTGGCTCTGTGCTCAGAGGACCATGTGGTATCGGGGATCAACCCTGGGCTTCCTGCATGCCGATTATGTTTTTAACCTCTCGGGTGCTCTCTGGGCCTTTCAGAAGGGCGGGATGAGTTTCAGACCCCAATGGAGAGCCCGGCAAGCCACCAAGAGTACCCCGTCGGCACGGCAGAGCCTGGCAAGCTACCCGTGGCATATTCGATATGCCAAAAACAGTAACAATAACGGGTCTCATTCCCCTGACCCTGAAAGAGCCTCCAATACAGCAGCGTTGGGAAAGATGAGTAAAGAAAGAGAGACTGCTAAAATCTCAGGGCTGGGACAAGTGGAGACATTACTGGTGCCCACTTGAGAGTAAATCGAAGAACAATGGAATGACAATGATACAGTGATGGTGAAACCAGTGCCACGTGACGGTAGGAATTGGTGCCAGCTTCTGCTTCCCAGAACGCTTCCCCTTCCTCTGTGGTTCTCACGGTGCTATTTAAACCTCTTTATTCCAGTCCCCAAACTGCACCCGGGGCTTCCAGAGAGCCGCTTCGGTCTGGGGGCATCAGAGAAGAATGCCAAAGCCGAGCCCAAAGTGGAGGCGGGCTACAGGTCCCGGAGCTCTTCTGGCACCCCGACCAGCCCCAAGCCACTGCTGCAGTCACCCAAGCCCAGCCTGGCAGCGCGGCCCAGCATCCCACAGAAGCCAAGGACCGCCTCGCGGCCAGGTAAGCCTGCGGGACCCAGTAGCCGGTAGAGACTTAGCAGAGGCTCCAGGGCAGTGGGTCAGTGTGGGCACGAAGGTCATCAAAGCTTGCTCAAAGTTGCCACAGTGACAGAAGCTGAGGCGTTCTCGAGTGTGCTGTGGCATCAACTCCAGAAAAGCTTGCTTTAGGGGCCAGAGCACTAGCTTAGCGGGTCAGGTGTTTGTCTTGCACACCACTGACCCAGGTTCCATCTCCAGCATCCCATATGGACCCCTGAGCACTGCCGGGAATGATTCCTGAGTGCAGAGCCAGTAGAAAACCCTGAGCATCACCAAGGGTGACCCAGAAACAAACAAACAAACAAAAACAAACTCTTGACCTTTAGGGCTACAGGGCAGAGAGAGACAGGACAGTTGGTTGTGTGTGTTGTGGGATGTTGTGTTGTCTGAGCGCTGTCCAGTGTGGGTGTCACTTCCTGAAATCTACCCTCCAGGATGCTCAGGTCTTTCTCAAACCCTGGTGTCTGGGTGAGGCCCAGTGAGGGCCAATGTCTGTGCCCTGCATCCCTGAATGGAGCGTGGCAAACTGGCTGTTCGGGACACATTGTCAGCTCCTAGCCACACCGACCATAAGCGTGTCGCCGTCTGCTGCTTTGGGCCCGCGGATTGTCCTACTGGGCAGTATGACAGAGGCCATTTGACCTGCCAAGCTGGAAATATTTCCTCTGGCCCTTTCTCCAGAAGAACTGTGCTCAGGTACGAAGAGGAGGAAGGGACATAGATACGACAAGGAGTGGGTTGGCCATTCCACTCTCACCACAGCGCCTCCTCCCTGCACACCTTTGTTTCTTGTTCATTCAGCTATGGTTGGTGATAGTTTTTAGACATATACAAAAGTAGATTGGCAAGGGGCCGGAGGATAGCACAGTGGGGAGGGCATTTGCCTTGCATGCGGCCGTTCTGGGTTCCATCCCCAGCATCCTGTGTGCTCCCCTGAGCACCGCCAGGAGTAATTGCTGAGCACAGAGCCAGGAGAAAACCCTGATTATCACCAGGTGTGACCCAAAAAGAAAAAAAGTGGGTTGGCTAATATAATGATCCCCATATCTCGTGTCCTTTGTTTCCATAAGACTTTAGATTAGAGCCTCCAAATTATGGGCGACTGGTCCCCTTTCGGTGTGGGGGGGGAGCCTGAAGTGTTCAGTGAAATTTACCTTCTTGGAGGAAAAAAAAACAGGATACCTCCCCCCAATTTCACTGAGGTTACTACTGCCCCCACCCCCCGGCCCCTCGATCATTCTAGGTCCCCAAAGACACGACAGTGTCACCCACTTTGGGAAATAGCGCTTTAGGTTAATGATAATGGAGATTTAGCACCTAATTATATTTTGCATGTCACCCATAATCCCTACATCCCTAAGCCTGCACTGTTCTAACTCACGGGGGGGGGGGGGGGGGGGGCAGAGAGTGCTCAAGTGGTAAAGCACAGGCCAAGCATTTGCAAGGGCCCAAGTTCGATCCCCAGCACAGCGTGGCCCCTGAACTCTGCCAGAAGAAGATGCTGTGTGTGTGTGTGTGTGTGTGTGTGTGTGTGTGTGTGTGTGTGGCCACTGTCTACAGTGAACTCGAGTCCACAATTTTTTACGGAGCTCCGTCTGTACTTTGTAAGTAAGAGTAGGTTGTAGGGTGTGGGATGGGGGTATACTGGGGTTTTTGGTGGTGGAGAATGGGCACTGGTGAAGGTACAGGTGTTTCATTGTATGACCGAGACTTAGACCCTAAAGCTTTGTAACTGTTCTCACAGTGATTCAATAAATAAAATTATAAAAATTGAAAAAAGTAAGGTGGAGTTTATGCACAATTCAATCAGCTAATCAGTGGCTGAATAAATAGCAGTACTCCTACATAAAAAAATTTTTTTTGAAAAAAAGGGTAGGTTGTACCTACTCTCCCACATGCTTTTGTAGGTGGGCTGGCTTTGATTACCAGGAAAGGCAAGGGATTATAAATAGTTCACATTTGAACAAAATCTAGTGGTGCTTGAGGCAGAAGGAGCATTCCATTCACCAATGGTCTCAGCTTCAAACATCACTTTATTGAGATTTTATATCTGCAGGGCAGATTCACACCTGTGAATTTAACTGTTGAAGACTGTTTAGGACTTGAACACCGCTTTCGAGTCTGAATTTTTTTTCTCTGTGTTGTGCATGAATTTTGTTTCACTGAACAGAAGCACGGGATGTATTTTTGGCCAGAAAAATGTAACACTGCTATTTAAAGTTTCCCCCGTCCTTTCTCTTTTGGGGGGTTTTGATTTGGGGTCAGCACCTGCTGTGCTCAGGGGCATTTTTTAGCTCTGTGCCGAGGAGGAGGAGTGTCCCCTGTGCCCCCTGTGGGTGCTCAGGGTTTCATATGTGGTGCCCAGGAATGGCCACTTACAGGACAAGCCCCTCAGCCCCACGCGGTCCCTCAAGCTCTGTCCTTGGTCTTGAAAGCTGAGCCTTGCATCTGTTTTCGGAATCCAGTTGATGTGGCGCTTTGATTCACGGGTTTGTGTCTCCGTAGAGGACATCCCAGACTCTCCATCTGGCCCGACATCCCCTAAGGTTGCTCTTCTGCCACCTGTCCTGAAGAAAGTTCCTTCAGACAAGGACAGAGAGAGCCAGAACAGCCCCCAGCCGAGTCCCAGGACGATTTCCCAGGAAGGTAAGAAATGTTTTCTCTGTATCAGCATTTCCCTATCCTTTGGAGGGGAAAAGGCATTAATTCTGCACCTGTTTAAGATAAGTTAGCATCCCCCTGAGGTAATATTTTTGGAACACGAGGAGTTTCTTAGTTCTGAAACTTCATTCCGCTTTATCTGCACTGTTGGAGGTGAAGGACCAATGCAAAGAATGAAAAGCATAACTGGCACCGGGCTGAAGGTGTGTCTTCTTAGTGGCTGGACTCACTAGATGCTTCCACCCTGCCTCAAAACACATCAGGAGAAACTTCAGTGTTACTTTCTGATTCTATTGGAGGATTCTCAGTCCTGTGATTTCCGAGTAGAACTTTCCCCGAGTTGTAAGCTTCCAATGCCATGGGTCCAGGAACCATCGCCCCTGGCCCAAGTGGACCCCTAGCTCATTGTGCTGGCTCAGTCATGAGTTCAAACCTTCCACATGCTCAAAGGGTGGCGCCCGTGGGTACTCCCAGGACACCAGAATGCAACCCCTGATTTACTGGGTTAGGAACAGAGGGAAATTATTGCATCAGATCTGGAATTGTTTTCAGCAGAGAAATGGCCTATTTGAAATGCCATCCACATCCCCTCAAACACACACTCTCCCCTTTCCGGTACTTTGTTAAATGCACACTGGGCTTTGGGCTTCTGTCTTTCATAAACTATCATGTAGAATAACTGTTGTCTCTAGGCCCCCATGCCCCTGCCCCCAAGAAACTTCTAGAGACGTGTTAAGTCATCCCCTTCGTCTAGATGGCAGCCTTCATGGCTTGTGGTGGCTTTGCTGTATTTGGGATTGTTTGGATGCTTTTGAATTCTTTGACGTCTGGCTCTGACACCTCATACATTGGTTCCTCGTCTTCATGGTGGTCTTGGATTGAAGTTAAAAGAAAGTATTTCTCCCACGTCTTTAAAGGACTCTAATAAACCAGATAACGCCTGCTTTCTCATCCTCGTTTGATGGATTTACAGGGTTGGGTACAAATTCGCTCGCTTATTGGCTTTAAGTAAAGGAAGGTATTTTTTTTTTAATGGGACAGATACAGAATGATCTCTTTCACATGACATATAAAGAACACAGTAAGGGAACAACAAATGGCCAAAGGTGTCAAAATTGGAGACTTGGTTTACAGAACTGATCTGGGGGGGTGGGGAGGGCAGAGGTGGGTGGAATGGGACAGGTTCTTGGAACATTGGTGAAGGAAAGTGGGCACTCTGGTGATAGGGGTGAGCCATTGTACGCAAGCATCTATCATAAACAGTAATGTAAATTATGGTACCTTAATTAAAACAGGGGGCGGGGGAGGACCTCAAAAAAGAGGTGAAGTGTTGATCAACACTGATAAACTCTGTCAACAAAAGAAACTAAAGCCTTGACAAGTGACTGGCTTGCATAGGCATGCCATAGGGGCTAAATAAATGCAGGTTCAAATTACAGCACAGCCTTTGGAAATCTTGGTGTAGAAGGAGGAGCCCTTGGTGGTGTCCACAAACGTCCTATGTGTTCCTGACTGCCCTGCTCGCTCCATGCAGCCTCTCTCTGTTCCTCTCCCCATTTCTCTTCCTCTCTGCAACTGCTAAATTTGTGATCTGTCTCATAAGGGAGCTTTGGAAGTGCCTGAAAGAATCCTGCTGGAGAGAAAGGGGACTGGGGTGGGAGAAGGAAGTGGGAATGCTTGTCTTTTAAAAGCTCCTGCAAAGAAAAGGTTGCATAAACATTAGTGGCTTAACATCTTAAAAGTGTTTGCTAGTGACTGGCTAGTTAAAACAAGGCCTACCAGCCTGATGAGAGAACGAGAGTTTCCTAATTTCTCTGGCTCTGGCATCTTCTGTGTTGGCCTCCCATGGATTATCTCTTGGGTTGAAGTTAATAGAATGTGTTTTTGAGTTCTGTCTTGGTGGCTTTGGGACTTTAACAGAGAAATTACGTTGGATACCATGACTTGTAGTACGGTGCCTCCAAAGGGGGTAAAAGGCGCTTTGCTGCTGTGTTCTTTCTGCGGGGTGTGATAAATGAAATGAGTTTGCTTCTCAGACAGTTCAGAACTTCAGGGGTAGGTGTGGTCCCCATAATAGCAAATATCAGGGGTGGTACAGTCCTCCATCTCTCCGGTTAGGGGCTCTGCAGCTTTTAGGGCTATTGGTCTCACCCCTGGACTCAGAATGAACCAACCACAGAGATTGTTCTGATGGTGTCCATTGGCCTTCAAACTGGACAAGTTCTCCAAAGTATTTGGGAATGTTTGAGGTACTGAGTGTTTTGCTTTGATTTATCTATGGGCTTGTCCCCCGAGGTGGCCCAGGAATGACAACCACTTATTTTCTTTAGAAAATATTCCTGATGTGCTCATTGCTATCTTTCTTGTCCATTATCCATGCTGCTTACTTCATTTCTTTGTCCTGTGCCTCCCTTTGGACTAGCGTGCCCAACTAATTTCTGAAAAACAGGTAAATAGCTTTGATTCTTCTGGACTATTTCATGGTGAATGTGATTTTTTTTCTTTTTTTTTTTTCTTTTTTCTTTTTGTTAATCCATCCTGGAATCAAAAGGGGGAACACTGGGACCTTTCTGTTAGTATTTTTTGGGGGGACAGAATCAGGGCTCATCTCATTTTGCACGACATTTCCATAATGTTGGCTGTTGAATTCTGCAGATAACGGGGTATCATATTGTTCAAGACAGACATGTTAGGTTCCTCGACTCCTAAGTGGGGGGTGAATACACTGATACCTAATCTTCTCTATTAATATTTTTGCTATTAATGTCGACACAGTGATATATTTGCTAATGTAAAGGGTAAAAATGAATCCCTTTTCCTCAGTAGTGCAAAGAGGACATTATTACAAAAGACATTCAGATCAAGACAATAGAAGGAAAAGACCTCCAAAACTGTACTCCACCATTGCAGAAGAGGAAGTGAATGCAATTGGGCACAGGAAGTCACAGCCAACCAATGGTTAGAGCCTTCGTTTGTCAACCCCCACTGACCCAAAGCTTCTGAACTGGCACTAACAAGAACAAACTTTAATTGATTGTCTTCTATTCTGGGACTGGATCAAGTACTAGTCAAACCATTCATGTCCTTCTGAATACCAGCAGGATGGTCCTTCCATTGGGGGCAAAGAATATTGATGTAAAAGCCAAAAATTGGAATTTTTTAGTAAGATCAGGTTACTTTGGAGCATGATGACTTGTCCTTTTAAATAGTTTGTGATTTTTATAGATTAATTTTTCAATTTTCAGTCATGTCTCTGGTTCACTTTTATCTCTATATGTTTCTATTAGATTTTAAGAGGATTGAATCAGAAATTCTTTGGCTCACCCAATTTATACCTTTTGTGAATAATTAGCCTGACACTTTACCTTATACTCTTTCAAGAGGGATCAGTGAAAAGCCTGAGACTAATTGCAAAGTTTGTGTCCTACACCTGATCTTACAGTGAACATTTTAGAACCCTTAAATGAAGAAGAAAGAGTGAAAATAAACTTTCCGAGCTCTAGGATGCATTTTTTTCTGTCTTATAAGCAGTTCTTTTTTGTAACTGCTTCCATTTGGCACTGTGATACATTCTGTCTTGTTCTGTTCCGGCCAGAACCAAGCCCAGGAAACTAAAGATGACCTTTCAAATTTACCTTTAATCTCAAAAGAGGAATTTTTTTATAAGCATTGCTGATTCAGAGAAGAAATGCCCTATCTGTGGCTAATTACCCAATCACCCCCAGATTAGCAGCTTTCTATTTTATTTGGGCATGGGGGCTACACCCAGCAATGCTCAGGGGTTTGGGGGGCCTTTGCACTCAGGAATCACTCCTGAGAGTGCTCTGGGGACCTTATGGAATGCCAGAGATCAAACCCTAGTTGACTGCATGCAAGGCAAACACCATACCTGCTGGGTACAATCTCTCCAGTCAATCTAAACAGCCTTTTGTAAGTAAAGGTAAAGGCCCTCCCATTGATCGTCGATTTGCTCGAGCGGGCCCAGTAACGTCTCCATTGGAGACCTTGTTGTTACTGTGTCTGGCATATCGAATACTCTCGGTAGCTTGCCGGGCTCTCCGAGAGAAGGTAAAGGTAAAGGCCCTCCCGTTGATCGTCGATTTGCTCGAGCGGGCCCAGTAACGTCTCCATTGGAGACTTTGTTGTTACTGTGTCTGGCATATCAAATACTCTCGGTAGCTTGCCGGGCTCTCCGAGAGGGGCGGAGGAATCGAACTCGGGTTGGCCATGTTGGCCGCTTGTAAGGCAAACGCCCTACCGCTGTGCTATCGCTCCAGCCCTGTGTTAAGATTAGAAAAATCTTTTCAAGGAAATTTTAGTGTCCTTGAAAAATAGAATCAAATATTATGAGTTCCTTAAAGGAATTCTTCCCTTAGGATGAGGTTTTATCCTTCCTGAGCACTGTATCAAGGGTTAATACAGGTTGGTGGGCGGGCAGAGCAGTAGTACAGCAGGCGGGGCATTTGCCTTGCACATGGCCAACCCAGGTTTGATCTCTGGCATCCCATATGGTCCCGGAGCATTGCCAGGAGTAATTCCTGAGTGCAGAGCAAGGAAGAACCTCTGAGCATCAACAGGTGTGACCCAAAAAGCCAAAAAAAAAAAAAATAGGCTTGGCAGTCTCAAGCCAAATCTGCATGTCTTGAAAAGTTCAAGAGAATCTGCCTAGAGAAAGCCCAGAGGCTTGGTGCTTCACTTCTGAAGGGTTTTGTTGTAGCAAACTTGTTTGCAGACACACATTTACAGTCACTCTTCTCTCTGCAAGAGAGTTTTCTTTGGGGTCAGAGAGTGACTAATGGGTTAAGGCACTCATCTTGCATGCAGTTGACCCTGGTTCCATCCGGGCACCTTCATATGGTTTCCCAATCCCCACCAGGAGTGACCCCTGAGCATCGCTAGGTGTGGCACAAAGAAATATAACCAAAAAGGTTCTCTATGAAGTTGCCAAGAAGAGGGGCTGGGGAGATAATACAGTGGGTAGAGTGTTTACCTTCTATACGGTCAACCCAGGTTCGATTCCTGGTACCCCATATGTTCTATGTTCTCCCAAGCCCACCAGGAGTGATTCCTGAGTGCAGAACCAGGAGTAACCCCTGAGGACCACTGGGTGTAGCCCCCAAATAAATAAAGTTGCCAAGAAGAGCTGATATATATATATATATATATATACATATATATATATATGTATATATATATATCAGAGGCATTTATTTTCTGGAGTGATAGAGTTATTTTTATAAACAGTAAAGCACAAACTTTGTGTTAGTGCTCTCAAGTAAGCACAGCCAAAGGTATATAGATATTTCCAGATTTGGCAAGTTTACATCTAACTGATTGTATCCACGGCTTCATATCACTTAAAAGCACAATACTACCGATGAGTTTCCATTTTCAGAAGGTCATTAAAAACACTTCCTACATCCACCACGAACTGTTCCCAGCGCAACACTGACCTTTCAGGAAAGCTCCAAATTAGAGTTAAGACGATGAAGACGGAGATACACCAAGCCATAGAAAGACAAGGAGAAAAAAATTCTATGTCTGTCTCAGATTTTCACTCTGACCTCTTTGGTGTAAAATGCTGTGTGGGACGGATGGCATCAAATTTTGATGGAATTCAATCGGACCATCTTGTCTGTGCTTTTGTGCCTTAATTTATCCAAGTATTGACAGGAGCCAAACCAGTCATTTCTACAGGAGAGTCAATTAAAGAAATTTCCTTGGTACTATTTTCATTTTGTTTTGTTAGTGCCGATTCTAGCACTGCACTCTTGAGAACTGCGTAGCGTTCTGCTTTCTGAATAGACCCTGATTAACATGAAAGCATTTAACGGAGCAATTCTATTAAACCTCGTGTGTACTTTCCTCTCTCTAATTCTTTTAGGAGCAGCTTTGTTTATGCAAAAACAGAGTTCTTATTTTCTTAAGTCATGTCCCTGTGAATCAGACCATTGTTCCCAAAGCATGCTGCATAATTTTATCCATGATTGTTAATGTTTTAATTGTGTGGCTTTTAATATTGATTTGACAGGTAACTTGTTTACTTTTACTGGAGATATATGGAAGTGCATCTTCTGAATTTCATATCATTTCCTCTCTGCATTTAATTGTAAGCTGTGATGTTTTCATTGAGAATCTGTCTTATTTTCTTGGAGAAAATAGGTGGGTTTTGGTCTTTGTATGCATTGTAATGTACCAGCTATCTTATTCTAAGATCCTTTTGATGTTTCACTTGCTTCACTCATAATTTAACTATAGCCAACTAATAGTTGGGCATGGCTTATAGTTTATAAGCCAGTTCTCTGTTCTTCCTTTTCCACCAGACCTGGGTTCTACTTCCCCATAAGAGTTCCCCCAAAGAAATTTAATAGTTGGTTAACACTATGGGCTCTTGCCATAAAAAGATTTTTAAAACTCAGGGCCAACTACTGAATATAACTTTGAAGTCATCATTATGTTTTCCTCTAAGGAAATATGGATGTCAGTGGAGCTTAAAATGGAGAAAAAGCTTAGGTTTTCATATGAATACCTAATTGAGTTTAGATGCATAAAATCAGCATATATTTGCATATACATGCAAAGTCAGATCCTCTTCAAGAATGACAGGTTTCATGTTTGAGCTTCTCTGAACCAATTATTGCCAATGTGGATGGAATATGATTATAGGCATAGTGTTTGTGTTGAATAAATTACCTGTTCACTTAGCCCGAGTGTCTTTTATAATTTAAGGGCACATGGATTGGTAATAAATTTGTATAAAAACACATCCATAGAGACACGTTAGCACTTCAACTCTGCAAACACTTGCATTGAAGAAGTGTAGAACAATAACTTTTTTGTTTTAACCTTATACAAAGTCAAGCATTAAATTAGACTGCCTAAGGAGAAGGTTCATTTGAATTAATTAAAAGACTGAAAATGATATATTATTATAAAATAAATTCTGGAGTTTTGGACTTCAAGGAAGCAGGCTTATTTAGCCCCTTCATTAATGGGAGATTGACCAAACATATTTCAGTATAATTATGTTTCCTGATTAAATGCAGTCAAATATAGATGCTGCCCAAGACCTGGAAAACAAACCAAAGAACATTCCCTTTAAAAAGTCGTTTGCACTAGTGATCTGGACTAACTATATCAGAGTCTGGGAGATGGAGTGTTTGACTTCCAAACTCAGACTCAGTAACTGTATTGACTTTAGTTCTTTGGTCTAGTTATACCTCAGTTTTCTGACCCATGTCCTCCAGTACCGAAGGAAATGTCATCCTCTTACTAATCTCAGTACCACCCCCACAGCCGTAGTAATTTGAGTTGAGGAAAGTGTTTATAGGATGAATTTTCAAATGGTCCCCCTAACATAGTGAGCATGGAAGAGGGTATGTTATTATTATACTTCTTGGTGTTTGTTGGAAAAAAGGAAATTTTTTGCTTTTATGGAGTGGTATTGATTCTGTCTTATCAAACTAGAAACCAGACTGTTCTTGTTTGCTGGATTTCCTACCCCCAAGCCTCCAGGTACCACTCCTGGAAAAACCAGGTTTAGAGACTCAAGACAACTTGAACAAAGATGGAAGGACAGAGTACTTTTCACAGAAAGACTCCTCCTTTGGAGTTCTCTGAATTTTAATTAGCAGTGCTACAGTGAGCCGGATCTGGGGTTTATCTCAGTTTTTATCCATGACAAACATTTTTGGTTGCATGTCTTTCTCCGTTATTCTAGAGTGGTCTCCTTTGTCACATCATGTAAGATGAATTTCTTTTTTCAGTTTGTTTTGAGGGTTGTGGGTGTTGGTGCTGGGGATTAATCCCAGAGCCTCATATGTAAAGGCAGATCTACTACTGGGCTACCAGGCTCCCCTTGAATTAGATTTGGGATTACCAGGCAAGCTAAACTATTGGGAAGGATGAAGCATTTTATTTGATTGGTTGTTTTTGGTTGGTTGGTTGGTTGGTTGGTTGGTTGGTTGGGTTTTTTTTTTTTCCTTGTCTTGTCTTTTGAGTTTCTTTATTTTTTTTTTTAAATTTTGATTTTGTTGGGGAGTGGGGGGTGAGACACACCCATCAGTACTCAGGGCTTACTCCTGGCTCTGTGCTCAGGAATCACTCCTAGTAGTACTTGAGGGACCATATGGGATGCTGGGAATTGAACCTGGGTCGACCACATGCAAGGCAAATGTCCTATGCACTATACTAGTGCTTCAGCACTTGATGAAATGTTTTTCAAACTAATTAGAGTAAGTGTTGGCTTTTGAGATGAATGATGTAATTCCATGTTATTTCTGTCCTTGAACTTAAAAAGTTGGAAATTTATTCTTTAGTCATTTGGTATAGAGGAACAGTTTCTTATTTTATTTATTTTTGAGTTTCTTGGAGGCCGTGCCCAACAGTGCTCAGGGCATACTCCTAGCTGCCTCAGAAGACCATTTGGGGTGCCAGAGAATGAACCCAGGTCAGCTGTATGCAAGGCAGGAGTCCTCCCCACTGTACTATTTCCAGCCCTGAGAAACAATTCATTTTAGTTTAAAAACAAAATAAATAAAATTTTGTATCACGTATTGCTAATAATGATCTAAGCCTAGATTATTGTAAAGTATCCTACCTTTAAGGTGAAGATATCAGCTTCTCTATTTCCTCCTGATTTGCAGTATATACATTGGAATTGAGAACTCTAAGAACTACTACCAAATAGGTTTTATAATAAGGGAAAACTATAGAAAACTACCTTTATTCCCCAAAACTGGCTTAATTAAAATCCTTAATTAACAGCCTTCACAGGACCAATTAAAAAATACATTTGATTTTATGTTCATCCAGTGCAAGTAAAAAAGTAAAAGTCAATTATAATATTTATTTGTTGTTTTTTCTCTAACAATCTGAGAATTTGCTTAGAACTGTTGTATAAAAGGAAGTCCATTTTTAAAAAAAAGAAAAGAAAATTATTTTGTGGTAGGATCTGAAAGGTTGTTTTTTTTTTCTCCAGAATTCTGGGTAATTTAAATTTCATAAAATTAAAAAATTAAAAATGTTTTTGTCTGGAGATCAGAATCTTGCCCAGACAACTGCACTGGCAGAAGTCTTTAATATGTTAGCATTTTCACTATTAGGTTTCATGAACTTTTCTTTCTGAAACCCTCTTTAGTGAGTTAGATATTAAAATAGCCAGTTCCTGGCAGTGGTGAGTTTTTAATATAGGCAAAAATCAAAACTGTTAGATGCAGCAGATGACTCCTGTCATTTTACCAGGCCATGTTTTCTTGCTGGGATTATTTGAACTTCCAAATAGAAGTAGCCATACCCCTCTTTCAAGCCACAAACAGTGTATGGGTCTGTTAGTTTTGTGGATACATAAGGGATGTCTGTACAGTAGACACAGTGAGTAATATTTCCTGAATCTAAATATTCTAGCTGGCGTTTTGCATCTGCACTTCCCCAAGGAGTTGTAATGATGAAACTATTATCTAATTAGCAAGAAAATAAGTTTGAGGGGGCAGAGAAATAGTACAGGGGTAAGGTTCACACCTGCCTTGCATTCACTGACCCTGCTTTGAATCCCTTGTACCACATATGGTCCCTCCAACACTGCCAGGGGTCACTTCGGAGCTAGAAATAACCCTTGGACCAGAAATGGCCCTGGGCACTGTCAAGTGTGGCCTGACCATTCCCCCCCACACACACTCACCCCTCAAAAAAAAAGAAAAAAAGTCATGAGCTTAAGTGAGACAAGAGATCTAGTTTACACACATTTGATACCCAGGATGTACCACCAGTGACTCACAGTTGGCTGTGGCTGAATTAATACATTACAACACTGGTGTCAGTGTGTTAAATCTTAATTTCTTGCAGGGTAGTTAGTTGTGAGGGAGGCGATACTGAAACATAGTGGTTTAGAACCAAGAATTAGTTCCAGTCTATTCTGCCCTCCTTGCCTAGGAAAGTTTCAGCAGACCCTTCACAGAAAAGGCCACGGTAATAGCGGTTCTTGTACCTGGAGGCTGGTTCCACAAAGACTGAATGTTCTAGTGTATTAGTTGATTCTCCTAAGACCTTAAACCGTTCATTTCCTAAAGAGGCTGTCAGACACAGTGAGGTCTACCTGATATTTCTGGGGCCTTTCCTCATATCCTGTGCCCAAAGAAAAGGTCTAGAGGTCTGTGGAAGGTCTTGATAAACCGCCAGCAAATTAAGATGCTGTCCATGGAAGACAGTCCTCACCACAGTGTTCAGATCTTGCCTTCCTAAGACATCACATTTTTTTTTGTTTGTTTTGTTTTTGGTTTTGTTTTACTTTTTGGGCCACACCCAGCAATGCTCAGGGATTACTCTTGGCTCTGCACTCAGGAATTACTCCTAGCAGTGCTTGGGGGACCATATGGGATGCTGGGAATCGAATCCGGGTCGGCCGCGTGCGAGGCAAATGCCCTACCTGCTGTGCTATCGCTCCAGCCTCAAGACATAATCACTTTAGCTTGTGGGTTATTACCAGCTGAAGTAAGTGGAGGCACGGAAGAGTCAGAGAAACTTTTGAAAGTCCCTTGATGAATGAAAGTTGGAGTTTTAACCAGATTTAGGGGCTTTAGTGGTTACCTCCGTGGCAGGGTAGCATCTAATTACAGAGCATCTGGTCTTCCTCCTGTGAGCTCACCTCCTCTCTCCCTGAAGCCCCAAGCTCTCAGCCACCCCAGAGTTCAGGATATAAATACCCTCATTTTGCTCCATTGACTTGTGTATTTACAGCCACATAGAGTCTCCATACAGATATAATTAAATTTGTTCTTTTCTCCCATGAATCTGCCTGATGTTAATTTGACAGCGTAAGAGCCCAGAGGGAAATTTCCTTTCTGCCTGGACCCCTCCCCTCCCTGTCACCTGAGGCCACCTGAGGTGACACTGAGTCTGCCTCTCCCCCTCCCTCCTTTCACTTTTCATTCTTCTTCAGGACCCTTTCCTCAGAGTCATTCTGACCTCCTCTATGAGAGGTTCTCCCTCCCATAGACTGGGGTCTTCTCGCCTCCTTGTTTTAATTGGTTGTTGTTGGTTGCTTTTTAACTGCTCTCCGTTTCTAAATGTCGTTGTTGTCTCTGAGAGTCCTCCTTGAACCCATTCAGGGTCCCCCCCACGTCTCCCTTCGTTGGTCAGGCCACTGGTCTTCATTTCCGTCACTGACTCTAACGGCTTCCTTCCTTTTCTGTTTCAGCTTCGAGGAGAAGCTGGGGCCAGCAGGCCCAGGAGAATCAAGAACAAAAGCCGTGGTCCTCCAGTAGGGATGGCCAGCAAAGCAGCAAATCCAGTGACTCCGGGGAAGAAGCAGAAAAAGATTTTATTTTTGTGTAAAGGTTACCCATGGGAAAGTCATCTTGCGCAGGTTGCTGTGTTAGCCATCAGAGGGGAACCAGGCCTTGCCTCACCCCTTCCTACTTCCCGCTGCTCTACTCTTGGTGCTGATTTGCGATTTTCTTCTCTTTTATTTCCTTTTTTTTAGAAAAAAAGAGATTCATTTTCTTTCTCATCAAAGTGCATTTGTTTGGGCTCCTCCCAGCCCTTGGCCTTTCATTTCTAAGCTCTCCTTTTCTTAGACCTTCAATGAAAGCCAGCAGTCCTCCATGGGCCCTACTTGAATTTCTCTGAGGCAGCTACAGTGCACCCTGCAAGATGAGTTTGGGGAGGTCAATGAAGTAACTGGACACACAGCCGCCACACCATCCGGCTGACGGTGGGGTATTAGCTGCGTGTACCTGTGTCAAATCTGCACTTGACTCGCTAGAGCAATTTATTCTTGATGTATGCAATTGCACATTGTAATTATATTAACAGAGCACACTAATGATTTGTATAAATTATATATATTAGATCTTGGGGAATGGTTTTTATGTTCTCCCATGGGGAATTTCTTCCTTCCTGATGTGGAATTGTACATTTTAACTTGGTCGGTGACCTTGACAGGACCATCAGTAAGCACAGTTACAGATAGAGAGACCCAGACTGATTCGACCATGTGCCCAGATGAATGTACATAGTTGATTTGGAATGAGATTTTATGAATATTTGTGTTTTGGGAAGGCCTTTAATTTGTCTGCATATTAGCTTTTAATGTGTGATTTTAAGAAAGAATACTTTGACACCTGTAAAAAAAATCAAAATACTACTCTTTTTAAGACATTTCACAAATATTCACTTACATTACAGGCTGAAGGTATTTTATTCACATGTATATTTATACCAATAAAATGATTTTACAAGTGGAATTTTTACCTCATGCAGTTCCTTTTTATTAAAGTTACATTTGCTTTGTGTTGATGAACTTTGGTTTTGTTTCCAAACTTCAGGGAAAAAAATCACAATTCCCAAATAATCAAGCCTGGTACATTCAAATACCTGCCACTTGCTAGTTCCATTACCTGCCTCGGGGGAAAAGAGGCTAATAGATAATCAAAAGATAATCAAAAGACTATCCTATTATGAATTTGATCCATTTTCCATTATCCCAAATCAAGAGAAGCAAGTGTGAATTTATCTTGCCTCCCCTAAAAACAAAACACCCCCACACTCGGGTAACTAATAGGATGACTGTAGACAAATTTGTAGACAAATAGGGTGTAGCATTCTATGAGGGTGAATAGATACAAGACAGTTTCATCCAAATGTGATGGGAACCAACACACACCTCTAGCGGCTGGCATAGTAGTATTAATGCAGGAGAACAAAGGGGGTTTCGGGGAGCTAACGGCCTGTGGGAGGCAGACACATAACCCAGAGGCATGTAATAAGCATCATGTATGATCACATCAAAAACAGAGAAAGTGGGATTTGTAGGACCATGCACCTTCGAATGCATGGGGGCTTGTGTCCATGTGAACCCATCACTACAGGAGCCATGTTCAATTGCAGGAAGTATGGGAGGTGCAGAAAGTATTCAGACCAAGAGCAGCCATGCCCACATTCACACAGAGCGAGTCCATGGTAAACACCAAACCTGAAGCCTCTCTATCTCAGAGCACTCAAATCTGTTTGAAATGGAGTTCAAACCCTGGATATAGGGAGAAGACCAGAGGATCTATAACCCTGGTGTTTTATTAGCAACTGAAATTTGACTCTGAGCAGTAAGACCAATGGCCTGTGTGCAGCAACAGTAAGATTCCAGGGTATAGGGGCTGGAGCGCTAGCACAGCAGGTATGGAGTTTGCCTTGTACGCGGCCAACCTGAGTTCGATTCCCAGCATCCCATATGGTCCGCTGAGCACCACCAGGAGTAATTCCTGAGTGCATGATCCAGGAGTAATCTCTGTGCAATGCCAGGTGTGACCCAAAAGAAAAATAAAATAAAAAGATTCAGGGTATAGAAAATCCTGAGAACAAGAGACAGGGCAGTGGATAAACAGGAAACTCGATTTTTTCTCTTGAGGACGATCCAGGGGCACCTGCTAGCTGCCCTTTTGAGAGAATTTGCTATGGGAGCGTAGAGAGTCAGCAACATAGCAACGTCTGTGGTACAGACCTGTGCAGCAGCCGTGCTGAGGTCAGACCATTCCCACTTCCTTGGCTGCTGTTGGCCCACTAGAGCCTGGTTCTTTCGTCCCCAACATTGGGCTTCTCTCCTGGGCAGCCTTGGCTCTGCAGCCTGCCAGAGCTTACCCCCAGCTCGGCACTCAGGGATCACTCTTGTGGGCTTGGGGGATCATATGGGATGCTGGGAATTGAACCCAGGTTGGCCATGTGCAAGGCTGCCCCTTCCTGCTGTATCATCAGTGTGCTTTCGAATCCCACCTGGCAGTGGTATAGCTAGCAGTCACCAGATTCAAGAACACAGGACGAGAACCCGCAGAGCTAGACAAGTCTCTATCCTCAGGGTAAACGAGCTTTTGTGCATGTTTCCTGAATGGATTAGATAACATTTATGTCTTAGGTTGGCCGAAGACAAAAGTACCATAGACTAATTGGCTTAGACAATAGACTTCCCTCACTTCCGGAAGTTGGGAAATCCAACATCAAAGCCATGGCAGCAGAGTTAGCTGAGAGTCCATAAATGCCCTCCTGTTGTTGTGTCTTCACCTGGCAAAGGAGAAAGAATTGGCTGGAGTGCCTGGGTGTGGACCCTGGCACCACACGGAGCCCTGCGGAGGAAAGGAAAGGGTGGGAGGGATGGGGACGGCCTTGAGTATCTGTCATCAGCTCACTAACTCCATTCATATGGCTCTCCACCCTCATGAGCTAGTCACCTCTCGGATATCCCAACCCTAAGGAACATCCACTGAACATTAGGGCTTTGTTGTATGCATTAAGCTAACACACGGCCTAGCAATGTCTAACTTGCTTCTCTAAGAGACTTACAAGCAAAGAGCGGGTTCATTCGAATGTCTTCTAAGACCTTAACAAACCAAATCACACACACACACACACACACACACACACACACACACACACACCAATTCCAGGCATCCTTGAGGGTGCTGTGGAATCACAGAGCCAGGCCTGTGTGCAAGGAGGGACCCAAGAAATGGAGGTCCTGTAACTGCAACAGAGATTAGGAACTGCATGCCACAGAGAGCCTGCTCACAGGTGGCGGGGGTCCAAGGGGGTGGGGCCCAGAGCCTGTGAAATCCAGACACTGTGATGAGTAGATTGACTTCAAATTGGGGATCTCCAAACATGGTGGCCACTCAATACCTGTATTGCAAACCACAACACCCCAAAGGAGAGAGAGAACAAAAGGGAATACCCTTAGGTGGGGGTGGGGGTGGGGGTGGGGTGGAGGGATGAGGCCGGGGAGATACTGGGATCATTGGTGGTGGAGAATAGGCACTGGTGGAGGGATGGGTACTCCATCATTGTATAACTGAAACGTAAGCACGAAAGTTTGTAAGTCTGTAACTGTACCTCATGGTGATTCATTAAATTTTTTTTTAAAAGTGGGGGGTCTCAGGTCCTGACTCATCCCCCAAGAGTGCCAAGCAGTACTTGAGGCCATCAGGACTTTCTATCCCATCTCAGTGTCACATAAAAGGCAGAAGAGACCCTTATTTTCACATGGTAAATATTCCCCTGTGAAAATACTGCAAGGTGTAACAATTATCTGGTTTGTCCTGGAGTCCCCGAACCAATGGACCTGACTTTTTTTTTATCCTATCAGCTAAAATCGCGTTATGAATCAAAACTCCCTGGCAGCAGGCCTGACCAGCCAAGAGGCGGAGATTGAAGGCAACACCACTTAATCACTTAACTTCCCGTTAGTCGTCGATTTGCTCAAGCGGGTGCCAGTAACGTCTCCATTTGTCCCTGTCGCGTGCTAGTGTAGCCCAATGGCATCTGTTCGCTCTGGGAACATGAAGAGCCTCAAACCGATCGTTCATGATCTTGACGAAGAAGTCTGACCATCTGGTAGGTGGGCGGCCACGCGGTCTTTTGACATCCCGTGGAATCCAGTCAGTAACAGCTCTAGTCCAGCGGTCATCTTTAAATCTCATTACGTGACCAGCCCATCTGATTTTTGACACCTTGGCAAATGAGACAGCGTCCCTGATTCTTGATCATCGATGGATGTCGGAAGTCCGGATTTTTTCTCTCATTTGAGTGAAACGTGATCTTCCAAGCATAGCTCTTTCTATTCTTCTTTGGGAGACCTGAATAGCGTTCTCATCCTGTTTGCATAGGGCCCAGGTCTCTGAGGCATATGTTAATGCAGGAAGAACAGTGGAATCAAAGAGATGTGCCCGGAGCCGGAGGTTCTTTGTTCTCTTAGATATTTCTTCAACGTTCTTGAAGGCGTCCCAAGCTGCTCTCTTCCTCCTGCACAGCTCGGGTGCAAGGTCATTTGTCATGTTGACTTCTCGACCTAGGTACACATAGCTGTTGGATTCGGAGATGGTCGTTCCGTTGAGAGCAAATGGGGCATCAGGAACGAGGCTGTTTCTCATGAACATTGTCTTCGTAAGATTCAGCTGTAGTCCTACCTTTCCACACTCATGGTCAAAGTAGGCCAGCATTTGTGCTGCTTGGCTGATGTTTGGTGTTATTAAAACAATGTCATCAGCAAAGCGGAGGTGGTGTAGTTGCCGACCATCTATCTTCACTCCCATTCCTTCCCATTCCAGTCGTCGCATGATGTTCTCGAGGGTGGCACTGAAGAGTTTCAGTGAAATGGTATCACCCTGCCGAACCCCTCTCTTGACATCAACGATCACTTCTTTGTAGAATGGTGAGATCCTGGTAGTGAATCCGCAATACAGCTCACGGAGGATCTTGATGTATTGAGCTTGAATGCCCTGATTGGCTAGGGCTTCAATGACCGCTTCCGTCTCAACAGAATCAAAGGAAAAGCAACACCTATTGAAGGCAACACCAACTAGGGTTAATGTGTTACTACTAACAAACATCAAGAGTTGTCTCACATCAGAATGCATGACAGTTCACAGTGGCCGGACAGTCATCATCCCTCTCCCAGATAAGCTAAATTGCATTCAGGAAAACATTGCGTGCTCTGCTTCCTTCGGCACA